GGAACTTTTCAGCTGTTTTTTGAAATAAATTCTTTGCCCCCTTTCCTCTACTCTTTTTCTGGTACTCCTATAATATGAATTTACTATGTTGCATGGGGATGCTGAAGTTCCCTAAGTATATTCTCATTTTGTATAATTCTTTTTTCTCTCTTTTGTTCAGTCTTTTTATTTCCCATTACTTTGTCCATTAGGCTGTTAGTTTGGGCTGTTAGTTTGTTCCTCTGCTTCTTCCAGCCTGCTGTTCATTCCATCAAGCATGTTTCTCATTTCATTTATTGAGCCCTTTATTTCTCCTATGTTATTCCTTATCTCTGTGTTAATGGTCTCATTGATGTGCTCCACTCTTTTCTCAAGTCCAGTGATTATACATATAATCATTGCTTTAAATTCTCCATCACATATGTTACTTATATCTGTTTCATTTCGATCTCTGGCCATGGCCTTGTCATGTTCTTTCATTTGGGACAGATTCCTCTGTCTTCTCATTTTGTCTAAGTCTCTGTATCTGTTTCTGTGTGTTAGGAAAGTCAACTACATCTCATGTTTTTGAGGGCAGTGGCTTTTATAAAAATTATTTCTTTAAATTCAATTTAACTAACATATACTGTATTATTAGTTTCAGAGGTAGAATTAAATAATTCATCAGTTGTATACAACACCCAGTGCTCATTACTTCAAGTGCCCTTCTTAATGCCCATCATGCAGTTACCCCATCCCACCACCCACTTACCCTCAGTTTGTTCCCTATATTAAGAGTCTCTTGTGGTTTGCTTCCCTGTTTTTTCTCTTATTTTATTTTCCCTTCGCTTTCCCTATGTTCATCTATTTAGTTTCTTAAATTCCACATATGAATGAACTCATATGGTATTTGTCTTTGTCTGACTGGCTTATTTCACATAGCATAATATCCTCCAATTCCATCCACGTCATTGGAAATGGCAAGATTTCATTCTTTTTGATGGCTGAATAATATTCTGTTGTCTATATATACTACATCTTCTTTATCCATTCATCTGTCGTTGGACATTTGGGCTCTTCCCATGCTTTGGCAACTGTAGACATTGCTGCTATAAACAGGGTACATGTACCCTTCGAATCAATATGTTTGTGTCCTTTGGATAAATACCTAGTAGTGCAGTTGCTGGGTTGTAGGGTAGCTCTCTTTTTAACTTTTTGAGGAAACTCCGTACTGTTTCCCAGAGTGGCTGTACCAGTTTGCATTCCCACGAACAGTGTAAGAGGGTTCCCCTTTCTGCACATCGTTGCCAATATCTGTTTCTGTTGTTTCCTGAGTTGTTAATTTTAACCATTCTGACTGGTGTGAGGTGGTATCTCATTGTGGTTTTGATTTGTATTTCCCTGATGGGGGGCAGTGGTTTTATGAATAAGAGATTCTGTAGTGCCCTGCAGTGTAGTGTCTCCTCTTCCCCAGGGCCTGGCACCTCCGGGAGTGTCTCCAGTTTGTGCTACATGTGCTCTGCTATTGTGTTGTCCTGGCTGCTTTATCCTTCATGGCAGTCATCTACTACAGATGCTCTTTGCCTCTTGTGGGCAGTGTTTGGGCCCTGACCTGAATGTGGTGCATTTTAACTAGATGTGGTGTGGTGTGCTTGTGAAATGATACCTTTCACCACCACCACCTGAACCAAGTGTGGGGAGACATCATATTGGCAGGGGGTTTGAGCCAGTATTGTGAGGGAGGGGGCCCATGTGCTGGGACTGAGGAATGAGTGACTGGAAAAGGCAATTCCACCACAGCACAGGGCATGGGGCAGGGCTTGGTATAAGCAAGTTTGGTAGCAAGTGTGGGTGCGAGGCTGTTTTCTTTGGGCAGCTCTATTTATACTGATGAGCATTAGAGCTAAATGGTACCTGCCAGTTCATTTTTTCCCCAGAGGTCTCTCTCTGTGAATACCCTCTCTCTGGGACACTCTTGGAGATGAGCAACTAACCTCCCCACTGTGTGTCCCAGGCACTTTTCAGATTGCTGTATGTCCACAGACTGTTTACCCTGCCTTCTCTCCAAGTACATCCCCAGTGTCCTTCAAGCTCTCCCAGAACCACGCATACTGACCTCTACAACTCCAGGCTTTAAGCCTCCTTGGTTGCAAGAACGCAAGAAATTGAGGCCCTCTAGCTTTCCAGACCAATCCTATGAGGATTCATTTCCTGTGTACTCCCCTGTACTTTAGTCTCCCTTTCCCACTTCTCTGGGACTGTGACTTCCTCCCCACTGCATTGGCTATGATCCATTTCTCTCCCAAGCCAAGACACTCCGCACTTCCTACTGTCTTTGATGTGTCCTCTGTCCTCTTCTCTACCCTTAATTGTGGAGCTTTTTCTGCCATTCTTCAGGTTGATTTCTGGGTTATTTAGCATGATTTAATAGGTATCTATTTGCATTAGTGGGAGCAGGTGAACCTAGGATCCTCCTACTCTGCTGCCTGCCATCTTCCTTCCTTATTATAAGTCTCTATATGTGTATGTAAAATGAAGGTATTATTTCCCCCATTTCATTATGTGAATAATTTAAAACAGTTTTCAACAATTTACCAAACATAAAATACTTTAAAACATATAATCAGAGCCAGGGAAATAGAAATATTATTTAAGTAAGATACCAGTTGGTGGGAGGAAGAACATTGCAGATTACTAAGAAGCTATTGCAAAGGCCACATTTTGAGATACCACATTTGTATCATCTGGGAACAAAGTCTTGTGATAGATTCATACTTGCTTAAAGGCCAAGAAGTACCACTTCATTTTTGGACAGTTCTCTGTAAAGAATGTCACTTCTTAGTTGGGCTTTATTTCATAGTATGACAATTGATATTTTGAGATTTCCCTTTTTAAGAGGACTTAGATTACCTATGATCTGAGGTAGAATTCCATTTTTTTAGGCTTATTTATTTTGAGAGAGAGTGCACATGCACGTGAGAGCACGCATCAGGGGAGGGGCAGAGGCAGAAGGAGAGAGAATCTTAAGCAGGCTCTGTGCTCAGCAAGAAGCCAGACGCAGGGCTGGATCTCACCACCCTGAGATCATGACGTGAGCTGAAATCTAGAGTAAGATGCTTAACCAGCTGAACCACCCAGGCGCCCCAAAATTCCATTTGTTTTAAAAACAATACAGATATACTGGAATAGTTAGTATGTTTGATACCCTATTGTGAAACATAGTATTTAAAATACTTGCTTCTTCCTGTTTCACAAAGATGTTGCAATGACAAATGGAAATATGATATTGCAAATACAAATAGTATTTTGTTTTTCAAAATGGTTTACCAGTTGTTCTAGTGCCTTTTTTGAATATCTTTTTTGTCCTTACTAAATTTTGATGCCATCTTTCCTAATTTTTTTTTTTTTTTGTATACACAGTCTATTTTGAGGGACCATTTATTTTCTAATGATAGGAGTGGTTTTAGTATTTGTAGTCCTTTATCATTGTTCTTCCTTTTAAAATCTTTTTGGCTTTTCTTAGTTCTACTCATTTTTAAGTTTTTAAAAATGTGTGTGCAGTACTAATGTGAAGAGATGTATATTATATTGCAATATAATTGTAATAAGATGTCACAAGTCAAAAAATAGAGAATAGGAAGTATTTGGCATGGGAATCTGTAGTTACAAAAATCTGAAACTTTATAATTCAACATTTTAAGGTGGTGTAACACCTTATTCAGTGTATTTTTAGTAGTAATTATATTATTATTAGTATTTTTTTTTCATTGCAAGCTCTGCATTTCTTTAATAAGGTCTTTCTCTATATACAGTAGCCCCCCCTCAGCCATGGGACATACATTCCAAGACCTCAGTGAATGCCTAAAACCATGGATAGTACCAAAACCTATATGTACTGTTTTTTCCATTCATATATACCTATGGTAAAGTTTAATGTACAAATTAGGCACAGTAAGAGATTAAAAATAATAACTAATAATAAAATAGAACAGTTATAACAAATATAATAAAAGTTATGTGAGTGTGGTGTCTCTGTCTCTCAAAATGTTATATTGTACTCTATTCACCCTTCTTGTGATGATGTGAAATGATAAGATGCCTACATGATGAGATGAAGTTAGGTGAATGATGTAGGCATTATTATGTAACATTAGGCTACTATCGACCTTCTGCCCATAATGTCAAAAGGAGGATTCATGGGGCTCCTGGGTGGCTCAGTCATTAAGTGTCTGCCTTTGGCTCAGGTCATGATTCCAGGTCCTGGGATCGAGCCCCGCATCGGGCTCCCTGCTCCGCAGGAGGTCTGCTTCTCCCTCTCCCACTCCCCCTGCTTGTGTTCCCTCTCTCGCTGTGTCTCTCTCTCTGTCAAATAAATAAATAAAATCTTTAAAAAAAAAAAAAAGGAGGATTCATCTGCTTCCACACCGCAGGTAATTGAAACTGCGGATAAGGAGTGGCTATTATACCTAGCAACTCATAGAGGAAACATCTCTTTTTCAACTTAACCCTTGGTATTTCTTACTTTTTCAATTTTTTATTTCATGATGACATACAGAGTAGTTAACAGTATTTCATAGAAATTGGTATATTGACTGGTGTAGACTTTTCACAATCATTTAACATTGTTGTAGTACATGTTTTTCAATAGCTTTTAAGTGATTTCAAAAATATTTAATAGAATAAATGTTAGAGATAAATAATGAACTGACTCAGACATTGAAGCTCTTAAGTGGCTATAGTTTTATGTGACTTATAGAGAAATTTGTCTTTGAAAACTTGAGGTTGTTTCTAAACATTTATTAGTTTGGGAAAATGATTGAGAGAGCATGACATCAGTCCTGGCTTTGGCATCTTGAGTCTGACATTAGATGTTCTACTTAAACCTTCCTGTTATCTGTGAATAATGTGCAAATTTATTTGTTAGTTTAAAATGGCAATCTTTTTATTATATTCTGTTCACATTATTCATAGTTTAAAAAAGAATATGGGCTTATATTTTTATCTATTATTAAATATTCCATAAACTTTTTAACACCATTTAGTTAATAAACCATGCTTTGAAAGAACTAATGGAAGTAGAAGAAGTGAGTGAAAATGTATTACAAGTTCACCTAAATGGTAAGTATGTCATCATTTTGCCATTGGAAATGATATAAGCCATAGAAGCTTTTTAAAATATAAAGTTTAATTTACTGGTATGTTTTAAAGGTGGGTAATAGTTGTAATTTAAGAACTTGATCCATGTTTAACAACTTTTACTTTAATATACACAATGTTTTTAGAAATTAAAAAAAAATAATAAATGAGGTATGTAACGACTCTTGGTTTTTTGTCTTTCTTTTCTTTTTTTAAAATAAAAGAACCCCAAGGAAGATAGTTCTTTGAGTCTACCAAATGTCTTCATTGCTGAGTTTCAAAAAAGAAATAATGTTATAACAGACTTTTGACTTTTTTCTTTCTAGTTAAATTTAAAAACCATTAGAAAGCTTACTTGACTGCAAAATAATCTTCACTGTATCAAGTATTTCATTTTAATTAAATACTTTTAAATGGGCTTTATTTCAGGACTACTGCAGATCAATGATAAAATTGCCCTAAAGGAAATCACAAGGCAGTTAAATCTGGAAAATGTAGTTGGAGATAAAGTTTTTGTAAGTAACATTTATGTTCTTCTATTAAACAGGGTTTAACGTTTGTATGCCATATTTTCCTAATTTTGGAAGGCTAGGGAGGGTTCAGAGATTCTAAATTGAAATGTGAAAGATTCTTATAAAAAAGTATAATGTACTAGGATGCATTTATTCATCATATCTTTATGTTAAGGCTTTTTTGAAGTAGATGATACTAACTATAAAATAGCCAAGAAATCCATGTTTATGTAGATATTATCTGAGTTTCTTTATCTGTGAGATAAATACTTTGGTTCCCTATCTTTGGAGAAGTTTAATATATTTTTTAAAGTACTACACTCACCCTATTTTTAGTCTTCTGAGACTTGGGTAGCTGGGAGTAATGGAAAATGTGCTGAATTTAAAGCTACAAAAGGTGGATTTGAGTCTTGTCTTAAAACCATTTCCTACTTGATAATCATGGCTAATGAGTATTTCAGAAGTTCAAATTTCTCATCTGTGTTAAATGTGCATTATCTTTATTATACTTCACAGATTTAGTCTAAAGACAAAAGGAAGCATTAAACATAATTTAAGTTTAAAAAATGCTGGATTGGTAATGTACTATACAAATGTCAGTTGTCTCTTATTAAATGTTTTCAGAAACTTAATTCATATCTCATTATTGTAACAGCTTGGAACCGTAGGGTAGTGAAATCAGTAATGTAAATGAAACTGATTAGAAATGTTCTGGAACTTTCATTAAACTTTTTACCCTATCACTTGATTTAAAGGGTTGAAAAGAAATATGGTTAATTTACAGCTACTTTATTTTTCATAATGAAATGACTTAACCTCATATTGCTTATTCAGTTGAAGTCAGAGTTGTGTACATCCCACGTTCATTTTCTGCTCACTAGTGGTCATATAGTGTTATCACTCTACAGTGTCTACTCCGTTCTGCAATGACACAGCCATTGTTGTGTAAGCCTCTTAGCATTTAGTAATTTCATTCTTTAGTAATTACCTATAAAAAGGTAAACCAGTCATGTGTTACCCTTCCACACTGTCTGCAGGTTCAAAATGACCCTTCTGTAAGTCTGACATTCTTCCTCCTCTTTAGAATGTAATGTTGAATACAGTGGCTTACTTGACCAAGGAGATTTACTATTATGTAGGCTCAATTTGGCTTTTGGTTTGCAACTGGTGTAGACTGGGGTTTCTAACTTTCCTAATTAGACCTATTCTTATTGGATTCATAGGAAATCATAAAAGGCACAATTGTTTATTATTCTAGTCATTACTGTTATCTTAATCATCACATATAGTGATTATTAGTTTAACTTCTACATTATATAGATAAGTCACCTGAGGCTCAGAGAGCATAATTAGTTTGCCTAATTTTCTTTGAAGGTCATAAAATGGATATTAGGATATTAAGAATCTAAGTCACTTAACCCAGAGCCTTTCTCTTTTGATATACTTATAGCAAATTTGTATATCCCTATACATATATACATATATGTATTTATATATAAATATACATGTATATTAATTAAGGATATTCTTCTAATACATGCATATGTATTTATATAATTATATACAGTAAAGGTCAGGTGTAACTGTCTTTAAAAAAAAAGCAAAAGACAAGCAACCTTTGAATAACTGACCACTGATTCACCCACAGATTGCCTCTGAGCTTTTGTTTATATTATGGTAAATGCCTCTTGCCCTAACTACCTTGAAAATAATGTTGATTTGACAACATACAGTTATTATAAAATATGTGGAAGTTCTTAAAAACCTATTAGACTATTTTATATCAGTTCTCTCAATTGGGAAACAAACAAGTGGGTTCTTTTGTCCTGTACATCTTCACAAATTTAAAGTTGGCTATTTCTTTAAATTAAAAAATGTAAATGAAGTAAAAATTAATGACTTAAATGAAAAAAATACTTTAACAGAGCCCTTATCCACAAGTTGGAACATCTGGATAATGCATCTGCTACTCTGTTAATTTCCATATAGAATATTTAAGTTGTATCCAAAAATGTTTTGGCTGTGTTCCAAGTAAACATAGCCAAATTTGATATGATATATACAAATTCTGTAGTATGCTCTTGAATAGGGAAAAACTATTGTAGTATGTAATAATTGAGGCAAATTTCTTCTCCCATTTCCTTTTGGATCTCACTTAAGTTCGTGCTCATTTTTTTTTAATAGTATGTTTTATTTTTTTGTTGTTGGTATTTAAATTTAGTTAACATATAGTGTAATACTGGTTTCAGGAGTAGAATTTAGTGATTCATCACTTATATATAACACCCAGTGCTCCTTAATACCCATCACCCATTTAGTCCATCCCCTGCCCACCCTCCCCTCCATTAACCCTCATGTTGTTCCCTGTTGTTAAGAGTCTCTTATGGTTTGCCTCCCCCTCTTTTTCCCCTTTCCCTGTGTTCATTTGTTTTATTTCTTAAATGTCACTTACGAGTGAAATCATATGGTCATTTTTTTAGTGGTACAAATTAATCTGAGACTTGAAAGAGCTTAATCTATTTGAAGATACAAAGTGCAATGATTTCTGGTTCTCTGTGTTTAGAATACAGCAAGTCTTAAAAACTACCTTTAAATTAAAGTTAACATCTTTACAGACTTTATCCAGAAAATAAAAAATTTTGAGCATGACAAGGTAATGCCATTTTCAATACTATGCCATCTCTCCTTTTATATTTAAGTTTTTAATGGTGCACATGGAAGTATCCAGCTCAGAATCTGGCCACTGACTAGGAAAAAGTAGATACATCGTGTCTATATAGTGTCTAAGAATCAGATAGTCCTCTTTTATTCTTTATTTCATTAAACTTTTAGCTATGGTGTCTTTTTTGTTATTCAGGGGAGTTTTGCTGAAAACCTTTCATTTCTTCTGGAAGCTTTAAAAAAAGGTAAATATTAACATAATTAATACCACCAAAAGGTATCTTTTAGCTTTATTTTTCCCCTGATTATAAAGGTGTTACATATTTTTACAAAAAACAAAAATGTAAAAAACCGTAATAAAGTGATCACTGTAATCCACAACTGTTACAGTGACTATCCCAATTATTATTATTTTTTAAGAAGTCTCCACGTCGAAAGTGGGGCTTGAACTCATGACCCTGAGATCAAGACTGAGCCGAGATCAAGAGTCGGACACGTGACTGAGCTGCTCACGCAGCCACCCCATGATGATCCCAGTTAACATTTGGTTTCATGTCTTTATTCACCTGCAGTGTATCACTGATGCAGATGGACATAATTTTTTATAAGAATAAAATGATTTTCTATATTGTATAATGTATATCTTGTTCACTTATGTAACAGGATGTAGTGAGCACCTATGTCAGTAAATAGTGAGCTACACCATCATTTTTATGGTTCTCATATATTCTGTTTTATAAATTAACTATACTTAAAATGTAATAAATTAGAAGTTACTAATCACCAGTTACGAATTTTGATTTCTAACTTTGTATAATTAGGAAGAAATGCTTAGGTGATTATTTAGATATTTCCTAGGGTAAATTTTAATGAGTAGAATTCTGGATTAAACAGTACCACATTTAAAAGAAAAATTATAGGGGTGCCTGGGGTGGCTTATTCTGTTAAGCTTCTGCCTTTGGCTCAAGTCATAATCCCAGGGTCCTGGATTCGAGCCCTACATTGGGCTCCCTACTCAGCAGGGAGCCTGCTTCTCCCTCTCCCTCTGCCTGCTGCTCCATCTGCTTGTGCTCTGTCAGATAAATAAAATCTTTAAATAAAAATAACTTAAAAAATAATACTTATAGGGGCACCTGGGTGGCTCAGTTGTTAAGCGTCTGCCTTCGGCTCAGGTTATGATCCCAAGAACCTGGGATTGAGTCCCGGGAAGGCTCCTTGCTCAGCAGAGAGTCTGCTTCTCCCTATCCCTCTGCCCCTCCCCTTGCTCATGCTCTCTCTGTCTCTCTCTCTCAAATAAATAAATAAATCTTAGGAAGGAAGGAAGGGGACAAAGGGGGAAAGAAAGAAAGGGGGAAAGGGAAAAAAGGAAGAATAGAACCAAACTACCCTAGAAGTTCAATTTCAAATCTAAACATATTTAAGAGTACCTTTTCCTTTTCAACTTTTATTCACAATTATTAATTTTCATGTCTGCCTAAGAGAAAAAAATACATCTCTTAGTTTGATATGCATTATTGTGCTATTTATGCTCATCACTTCATATTTTTATTAAACACTGATATTTCTTGGTTTATGTATTTCTTGTTGATTCTTTGCCTTATTTTGGTGGTGTTTATCCCATACTCATTTATGGGAATTCTTTTTGGACTTCTGTGCTGAAAAGAAATTTTAAATTTTTTGTATCATCAGTATTTTTCTCCAGATTTTGAAGGCATTGACTTCTGTTTTCATCTAATACATATATTTCATAATTTGGCGGGAGTTTATTTTGATAAGGTGTAAAGTGGAGAACTAATCTTGTATAAGCCACTTTTCCCCATTGATTTATAATGGTATATTTTATCAAATACTACATTTCTTTTTTTTTAAGATTTTATTTATTTGTCGGAGAAAGACTGCACAAGCAGGGTGAGCAGTGGGCAGAGGGAGAAGCAGGCTCCCCACTGAGCAAGGAGCCCATGCAGGACTCCAACCCTGGGCCCTGGGGTCATGACCTGAGCTGAAGGCAGACGCTTAACCAACTGAGCCACCCAGGCATCCCTCAAATGCTACATTTCTATATTATATAGTTCTGTTTATAGACTCTTTGAGTAGTCCTTGTGGTTTTCATGACATATAGGTTACTGTATGTTTTGTTATCTGTTAAGTGTCCCCTTATCAGATTTTCTTTTAACTTGTTTATGTGAATATAAAGCCTTAAACCTTAAGGTAATAGTGATTCTTTTGCCCTTATAGTTTCTCCCGTTGTAATGAGAAAAATGAATTCACAGAGTCATGTTGAACTTTCCCCTCTTGTTGAAATATTAAAACTTTGTTGGGGTGCCTTAAAAAAAAACTGTGGTTAGAAGGAGTTAAAAGTGGCTTTGGTTGAATTTCCTAGTTTAATGATTATTTATAAAAAATTACAAATACTTGGGAAGATAGTTTGCATTTCTGCTAACTAAACAAGTCTCTTTTGAAGCAAAAGTTTTTGTTCATAAGTTAGTGACTCCCTGTATTATTAATCCCAAAGTGTTTTGGTCTATTTAGGTGTTAAGAGATCCTTGTCAACTTTATGATGACAGAAGATTATATTTACATACTTTTAAAAACAACAGTCTTGTCATTTAAATAATGTTCTTAATTTTTCATCAGTAAACTACTAGAGTCACGTAATTAGACTGTGAACTACTTGAGGGCAGTAAAGGCTATCTTGTCCTGTGAATAATTTTTTTGTTGTTGAATAAATGTATAGGCATTGCTAAGTATCCTATGCAAAGTAGGTTTTCAATATATGTTTGTTGAATTGAGTTTTAACAACTAAAGTGTAGTAAATAATTTGGAAACTTAAGAAAGGTTGGTATAGTTGCTTCTTAATATATAAAACTCTTATTTTATCTTAGGTGACCGGTCTACTAGTTGCCCAGTGATCTTCATATTAGATGAATTTGATCTTTTTGCTCATCATAAAAACCAAACACTCCTCTATAATCTGTTTGACATTTCTCAGTCTGCACAGACTCCACTAGCAGTTATTGGTCTTACATGTAGATTGGTAAGTTTTTCTTTCTATTAAAAAATTGATTATTATATCAATTAAATTGATTAATTGATTAAAATTAAATTTATTTAATTAGAAAATTAAAGCTTAATTACTGATATCATCACTTATGTAGGTTATTATATCAGGCATTTTTTCAAATGTGTTTCACTAGTGCCTGTTGCATTTATCCTACTTTTTTTTTTTAAATTTTATTTTATTATGTTATGTTAATCACCATACATTACATTAGTTTTTGATGTAGTGTTCCATGATTCATTGTTTGCGTATAACACCCAGTGTTCCATGCAGTATGTGCCCTACTTAATATCCATCACTGGGCTAACCTATCCCCCCACCTCCCTCCCCTCTAAAACCTTCAGTTTGTTTCTCAGAGTCCATAGTCTCTCATGGTGCATCTCCCCCTCCAATTTCCCCCTCCTTCATTTTTCCTTCCTACTATCTTCTTTTTATTTGTTTCAGAGGTACAGGTCTTAGACAATTCACAGCCTGCACCATAGCACATACTCTCCCCAGTGTCCATCACCCAGCCACCCCATTTATCCCATCCCCCACCACTCCAGCAACCCTCCGTTTGTTTCCTGAGAGTAAGAATTCCTCATATCAGTGAGATCATACTTGTCCTTCTCTCTGATTGACTTATTTTCTTAGCGTAATACCCTCTAGTTCTGTCCATGTCATTGCAAATGGCAAGAGTTCATGTTTTTGATGGCTGCATAATATTCCATTGTATATATATACCACATCTTCTTTATCCATTCATCTATTGATGGACATCTTGGCTCTTTCCATAGTTTGGCTGTTGTGGACATTGCTGCTATAAACATTGGGGTGCACGTACCCCTTCAGATCTCTACATTTGTATCTTTGGGGTAAATACCCAGTAGTGCAATTGCTGGGTCGTACGGTAGCTCTATTTTCAACTTTTTGAGGAACCTCCATACTGTTTTCCAGAGTTGGCTGCACCAGCTTGCATTCCTACCAACAGTGTAGGAGGGTTCCCCTTTCTCCGCATCCTCGCCAACATCTGTCGTTTCCTGACTTGTTAATTTTAGCCATTCTGACTGGTGTGAGGTGGTATCTCATTGAGGTTTTGATTTGGATTTCCCTGATGCCGAGTGATGTTGAGCACATTTTCATGTGTCTGTTAGCCATTTGGATATCTTCTTTGGAAAAATGTCTGTTCATGTCCTCTGACCATTTCTTGATTGGATTATTTGTTCTTCAGGTGTTGAGTTTGATAAGTTATTTATAGATTTTGGATACTAGCCCTTTATCTGATATATCATTTGCAAATATCTTCTCCCATTCTGTCAGTTGTCTTGGTTTTGTTGACTGTTTCCTTTGCTGTGCAGGAGCTTTTTATTTTGATGAAGTCCCAATAGTTCATTTTTGCCCTTGCTTCCCTTGCCTTTGGCGATGTTTCTCGGAAGAAGTTGCTGCGGCTGAGGTTGAGAAGGTTGCTGCCTTTGTTCTCCTCTAGGATTTTGATGGGTTCCTGTCTCACATTTAGATCTTTCATCCATTTGGAGTCTATTTTTGTGTGTGGTGTAAGGAAATGGTCCAGTTTCATTCTTCTGCATGTGGCTGTCCAATTTTCCCAACACCATTTGTGAGGAGACTGTCTTTTTTCCATTGGACATTCTTTCCTGCTTTGTTGGAGATGAGTTGAGGGTCCATTTCTGGGCTCTCTATTCTGTTCCATTGATCTCTGTGTCTGTTTTTGTGCCAGTACCATACTGTCTTGATGATTACAGCTTTGTACTAGGGCTTGAAGTCCGGAATTGTGATGCCACCAGCTTTGCTTTTCTTTTTCAACATTGCTCTGGCTATTTAGGGTCTTTTCTGGTTCCATACAAATTTTAGGATTATTTGCTCCATTTCTTTGAAAAAAGTGGATGGTGTTTTGATAGGGATTGCATTAAATGTGTAGATTGCTCTAGGTAGCATTGACATCTTCACAATATTTGTTCTTGAATCCATGAGCATGGAACTTTTTTCCATTTCTTTGTGTCTTCCTCAATTTCTTCCATGAGTGTTTTATAGTTTTCTGAGTACAGATTCTTTGCCTCTTTGGTTAGATTTATTCCTAGGTATCTTAAGGTTTTGGGTGCAATTGTAAATGGGATCGACTCCTAAATTTCTCTTCTGTCTTATTGTTGGTGTATAGAAATGCAACTGATTTCTGTACTTGATGTTATATCCTGCCACTTTACTGAATTCCTATATGAGTTCTAGCAGTTTTGGGGTGGAGTCTTTTGGGTTTTCCACATAAAGTATCATATCATCTGCAAGGAGTGAGAGTTTGACTTCTTTGCCAATTCGGATGCCTTTTATTTCTTTTTGTTGTCTAACTGCTGTGGCTAGGAATTCTAGTACTATGTTGAAGAGCAGTGGTGATAGTGGACATCCTTGCCGTGTTCCTGACCTTGGGGGAAAAGCTCTCAGTTTTTCCCTATTAAGAATGATATTCGCTATGGGTTTTTCATATATGGCTTTTATGATATTGAGGTATGTACCCTCTGTCCCTACAATCTGGAGTTTTAATCAAGAAAGGATGCTCTACTTTGTCAGATGCTTTTTCTGCATCTATTGAGAGGATCATATCGTTCTTGTTCTTTCTTTTATTAATGTATTGTATCACATTGATTGATTTGCGGATGTTGAACCAACCTTGCAGCCCAGGAATGAATCCCGCTTGGTCGTGGTGAATAATTCTTTTAATGTACTGTTGGATCCTATTGACTAGTATTTTGGTGAGAATTTTTGCATCCATGTTCATCGGGGATATTGGTCTGTAATTCTCCTTTTTGATGGGGTCTTTATCTGATTTTGGGATCAAGGTAATGCTGGCCTCATAAAATGAGTTTGGAAGTTTTCCTTCCATTTCTATTTTTTGGAACAGTTTCAGAAGAATAGGGATGAATTCTTCTTTAAATGTTTGGTAGAATTCCCCTTGGAAACCATCTGGCCCTGAGCTCTTGTTTGTTGGGAGATTTTTGATTACTACTTCAATTTCCTTAGTGGTTATTGGTCTGTTCAGGTTTTCTATTTCTTCCTGGTTCAGTTTTGGTGGTTTATACATCTCTAGGAATGCATCCATTTCTTCCAGGTTATCTAATTTGCTGGCCTATAGTTGCTCATAATATGTTCTTGTAATTGTTTTCATTTCTTTGGTGTTGGTTGTGATCTGTCCTCTTTCATTCATGATTTTATTTGGGTCTTTTTTTTCCTTTTTGATAAGTCTGGCCAGGGGTCTATCAGTCTTATTAATTCTTTCAAAGAACCAGCTCCTAGTTCCGTAGATCTGTTCTCCTGTTCTTTTGGTTTCTGTTTCATTGATTTCTGCTCTGATCTTTATTATTGCTCTTCTCCTGCTGTGTTTCGGCTTTATTTGCTGTTCTTTCTCCAGCTCCTTTAGGTGTAGGGTTAGGTTGTGTATTTGAGACCTTTCTTGTTTCTTGAAGGACCGCCTTGCTGCATCCCAAAGATTTTGAACAGTTGTTTTCATTTTCATTTGTTTCCATGAATTTTTTAAATTCTTTAATTTCCTGGTTGACCCATTCATTCTTTAGTAGGATGCTCTTTAGACTCCATCTATTTGAGTTCTTTCCGACTTTCCTCTTGTAATTGAGTTCTAGTTTCAAAGCATTGTGGTCCAAACATAGGCAGGGAATGACCCCAGTCTTTTGGTGCCAGTTGAGACCTGATTCGTGACCTAGGATGTGATCTATTCTGGAGAATGTTCCATGGGCACTAGAGAAAAATGTGTATTCTGTTGCTTTGGGATGGAATGTTCTGAATATATCTGTGAAGTCCATTTATTCTAGTGTGTCATTTAAAGTCTTTATTTCCTTGTTGATCTTTTGCTTAGATGATCTGTCCATTTCAGTGAGGGGGGTGATAAAGTCCTATACTATTATTGTATCGTTGTCGATGTGTTTCTTTGATTTTGTTATTAATTGGCTTACATAATTGTCTGCTCCCTTGTTAGGGGCATAGATATTTACAATTGTTAGATCTTCTTTTTGGATAAACCCCTTAAGTAGGATATAGTATCCTTCCTCATCTCTTATTATAGTCTTTGGTTTAAAATCTAATTTTCAGGGGCGCCTGGGTGGCTCAGTTGTTAAGCGTCTGCCTTCTGCTCAGGTCATGGTCCCAGGGTCCTGGAATTGAGCCCCACATCGGGCTCCCTGCTTGCGCAGAAAGCCTGCTTCTCTCCCTCTGTCCCTGCTTGTGTTCCCTCTTGTGCTGTGTCTCTCTCTGTCAAATAAGTAAAATCTTTAAAAAATAATAATAAAATAAAATCTAATTTGTCTAATATAAGGATTGCCACCCCAGCTTTCTTTTGATGTCTGTTAACATGGTAAATGGTTTTCCACCCCCTCACTTTCAATCTGGAGGTGTCTTTGGGTCTAAAATGAGTCTCTTGCAGACAGCATATTGAAGGGTCTTGTTTTTTTATCCAGTCTGATACCCTTTGTCTTTCGATTGGGGCATTTAGCCCATTTACATTCAGGGTAACTATTGAAAGATAGGAATTTAGTGCCATTGTATTGCCTGTTAGGTGACTGTTACTGTATATTGTCTCTATTCTTTCTGGTCTGTGTTACTTTTAGGCTCTCTCTCTTTGCTTAGAGGACCCCTTTCAATATTTCTTGTAGGGGTGGTTTGGTGTTTGCAAATTCTTTTAGTTTTTGTTTGTCCTGAAAGCTTTTTATCTCTCCTTCTACTTTCAATGACAGCCTAGCTGGATATAGTATTCTTGGCTGCATATTTTACTTGTTTAGTGCTCTGAATATATCATGCTAGTCCTTTCTGGCCTGCCAGGTCTCTGTGGCTAGGTCTGCTGTCAATCTAATATTTCTACCATTGTAGGTTACAGACCTCTTGTCCCCAGCTGCTTTCATGATTTTCTCTTTTATTGTGAGACTTGTAAGTTTTACTATTAGATATTGAGGTGTTGACCAATTTTTATTGATTTTGAGGGGGTTCTCTGTGTCTCCTGGATTTTGATGCCTGTTTCCTTCCCCAAATTAGGGAATTTCTCTGCTATAATTTCCTCCAATATACCTTCTGCCCCTCTCTCTCTTTCTTCTTCTTCTGGGATCCCAATTATTCTAATATTGTTTCGTCTTGTGGTATCACTTCTCTCTCGAATTCTGCCCTCGTGATCCCATAATTGTTCCTCTCTCTCTTTCTCAGCTTCTTTATGCTCCATCATTGGTCTATATCACTAATTCTCTCTTCTGCCTCATTTATCCTAGCAGTTAGAGCCTCCCATTTTTGATTGCACCTCATTAATAGCCTTTTCGATTTTGACTTGGTTAGATTTTAGTTCTTTCATTTCTCCAGAAAGGGATTCTGTAGTATCTTCCATGCTTTTTTCAAGCCCAGCTAGTATCTTTATAATCATCACTCTCAACTCTAGTTCTGACATCTTACTAATGTCCGTATTGATTAGGTCCCTGGCAGTTGGTACTGCTTCTTGTTCTTTTTTTTTGAGATGAGTTTTTCCATCTTGTCATTTTGTCCAGAGGAGAATAGATGAATGATAGAACCAAATGCTAACAGGGTAACAACAACCCCAGAAAAATATACACTAAACCAATCAGAAGAGACCCAAACCCGGGGGGAAAAGAGTGGGGGGGAAATGTGATCAGACTGGTGAATAGATCAGAGCCACACACTAGATTTTGGGCATATTTTGGTCTGTTAGAAGAAACTTCCTCCCAAAAGTTTAAAGAAAGAAAAACATATATGTACAAAAAGAAGGGTAAATACGATGAAGGGATGGAATATGACTGTAAAGATGAAAATTATAAAAGATTTTATAAAATGAATTGATAAGTTGGTTGAAAAAAAAAAGAAGAGAAATTTTTTAAAAAATTAAAAAAAAAGAGGGAATGTGTTGGGCACCTGGGTGGCTCAGTTGGTTAAGTGACTGCCTTTGGCTCAGGTCATGATCCTGGAGTCCCGGGATCGAGTCCTGCATCAGGCTCCCTGCTCAGCAGGGAGTCTGCTTCTCCCTCTGACCCTCCCCCCTCTTATATGCTCTCTCTTTCTCTCTCAAATAAATAAATGAAATCTTTAAAAAAAAAAAAAAAAGAGGGAATGTGATCAGGCAGGAGACCAGAACAAAGCCATCCACTAGAGATTTGGGGTATATTTTGGTCTGTTAGAAGAAACTGTATCCCAAAATTTTAAAGGGAGAACAACTTCTATGTATACAAAAAATAAGGTTAACTGCAGTGAAGGGTTAGAAATCTATGATTATAAAAAGGAAAATTAAAAAAGATTTTTATAAAAGGGATTGATAAGATGTTGGTTGAAAAAGGGAAAAAAATGTGAAAACAATAGAAAAAGAAAAAAATAAAGATAATTTTAAAAATTAACTTTGAAAGACTAAAGAATCATGGGGAAAAAAGCCATGAATTCTATGTTCTGTACTCCCCTAGTGCTGGAGTTCTGCTGTTCTCATTGATCAGTAAACTTGGTCTTGGCTGGCTGTTCTTGCTGATCTTCTGGGGGAGGGGCCTGTTGCAGTGATTCTCAAATGTCTTTGCCTGAAGTGGAATTGCCCTGTCCTTGCCAGGGGCAGGCCAAGTAATCTGCTCTGGTTTGCTCTCGGTAGCTTTTGTTCCCTGCAAGCTTTCCTACAGCTCTGAAGGACAAGAGTGAAAATGGCGGCCTCCCAATCTCTGCCCAGGAGGAGCCAAGAGCTCGGGGCCCCACTCCTCAGTGAGCCCCCAGAGAAAAGCAGTCAATCACTCCTGTCTCCCCAGTCTCTGGCCACCTCCATGCTCACCCGGCCTGTGACCCAGCGCCTCTGTCTCTGGCACATGACCCCGTTTGGAGTCTCCAAACCCAACAGATTCCTGCAGTGCGCTCCCATGCCGCTCCTCCTGGGGGAGGAAGGGGACTCTCCCCAGATCTGCCGCTTGTCGGGTCCCTGCTGAAGGAGTAGTGGCCCGACTGTGCCGTGGGTCATGGTTAATTGTAGCCCCTAGCTGAGAGCCCACTCCTAGGCCCCGTCTCTGCAGCTGGCTTCCTGCTCCGATACCTGGGAGCTCTGCCGTGCTCAGGCACCCCCGGTCTTTCTGTGACCCTGAGGGTCCTGGGACCACACTGTCCCAACGAAGGTTCCCCCCCCCCTGCTTAGCCACTGGAGTGACGTCCCTTGGCGGAGCTGACTTCTAAAATTTCTGATTTTGTGCTCCGCTGCTCTATCACTTGCCGGCAGCTGGCTGGCGGAGGCTCCCTCCCCACCCCAAGTCTGTCTTCCTGAATATCGCCTGGGATTCACTTCTCCGCACAGTCTCCCTTCCAGAAAGTGGTTGCTTTTCTGTTCGGAGAGTTGCTGCTATTCTTTTCTTCAATCTTCTGTTGAGTTTGTAGGTGTTCAGAATGGTTGGATCCCTGTTTAGCTGAATTCCTGGGACCAGATGAAATTTAGGTCTCCTACTCCTTTGCCATCTTGCTTCACCTCTCCGCATTTATCCCACTTTTCAACTCAGATTGAAGAAAATAAGAAAACATTTATCATACATGCTCATAAACTAATAGCTCCCTCCCTCCAGTGGAATCCACTGAATAAAAAAAATGTGATGTCAGATTATGCTAGTATAATATCTACATTAGCAAGTAAAGAGAAAATTAATTGCACCACTATTTTATTAAAATTGTTAATAGTTTCTACTTTTATATTTAAGACTGTTTCTTTTTTTTTGAAAATGCTTAGAATTGAGTAAAAATGATAGTATCCCATCTTTGTAAGTATTCATCTCCAGAAATGGAAGGGATTACTTCTATCAAGCTGTCACAGTAGATAGTGGCTTCTTTGCTTCTTGGGGGTGATTTTAGAATGATTTTAACCATAGTCTCAATGTCACTATCACATTACTTTATGAAGACTCTCTACATGTTGAACCTTATATACTTCAGATGGCTACATAGGCCTTTTTTTGTTTATATTCTTTTACATCATAAACTTTCTTACTGAATTCAGGTAAAACTGGTATTTAAGAGTCCTCTCTTCTCATACTGTGCCTGCCATGGGTCTGTTGTTTTCATTCTTCTTTTTCCTATTTCATTCTTGGCAGATTTGTGGTCAGACCCATTTACTTCTGTTCCTTTCCTACAGCTGTTTCCTTCTTAGAAAAGTGAAATGCTTTACTGAGTCATCTTTCAACAGTCTTCCTTCCAGTGTTGTTTTCCTGTGGAGTGTCTTTCTCTGTCCTCTTTCCCCAGTGCTTTAGAGTTTATGATATATGCCTTCATAATAAGTCTCCCTCATAGAACCTCTGCCTGGTTCTTCACATATCTTTATTCCTCTTTGTCAAAAGCAGCAGTCATACCACAGGAGTTCAGGAAGCATCTTCCTTCTTGCTAAAAAAAAATCTTTCTTTGGGTAGAAGTAGCAGTGGCAGATGTTACTGACCCATTGAAGGACCAGATAAAGAATCAGCTGCTCTTTAGCAGTGTTATCATAGGCCTTTAAAAATTCTATATGTATAATTCTCCCAACTATACTGTTCAAGTCTATTGTATGTCTGTGTTTATAGGAGAAAAGCAAAAGGATAGATGGATTAGTGACTTTACTAGCAAACAGCCTCTTCTCTGTGGAAGTAGTTCTTTTTTTTTATTATTATTCCTTTTATTCCCACATTGCCAACTTCAGTCATTTCTGTCCACTAAAATATCTTTTACTTCCACCTTTCTTTCCATTCCCAAGTTCAAGCTCTTAATTACTGCTGGCATAGAGTGTTGTTTGCACTACCTTTCCGCCACCTACCTACATGGGTGTTCTAGAACTGCTCATTAATAGAAAATTTATAATATTGCTGTCTCTAAACATAACTTCATTCTCTTTTCATTGTGCTTGCACTGTATTTTTCTTTGAGCTATAAAAACATCCCAGGTTTTTCATTCACTTTCTCCCTACTAACCCCAAGCTATTAATCTTTCCTGTCTTCTTTTCCAGACTACCCATGATCCCATTTTGATCACTTGAATTCTTTCCTCTGTATGATTGGTTTCTTAACCTAGCTATTATGACAATCATCTGGGTAGATTTAAAAATCCATATTTTAGGTCCTCACCACAGCTTTTTTTTTTTAAGTTCTTTTATAGAAAAATGACAATCAACTTGATTCCTAACTTCTGAAGGAAAAATAGCACAAATGCAAGTACTTTCTAAAATATCAGTGTAAAAAAGCCAAAAGACAGACTAACTTACCAGTGTCATGCTGTTTTCCTGCAAGTTTCCTCTCCTATAGTTTGTTCCTTCATTTCACCATGGCTTCAGCTTGAATTTATAGGTAGTTTAGTGAACTGAATTTTTCTCCATTACATATGCTACTTCTTGAGTCGTCGTTACATAAAACAATGAAGATGTTTAAATTTTCAGGAATGTAGTAAGTCTTACTATATTTTGCTGTTTTTTTAAATCTGAATTCTTCACGTATCTTTATTCCTCTTTGTCAATGTATGAAATTCCTTATTGAAATTCTTGGTGTTATTGTGGCAGAGAACTATTCAATAATAGAATTTTTTTGCAATTGTTGGTCTTGGAATGTTAAAGATTAACTGAGAATAGCATAGTAGGAAAAAGGCATGACATCACCAGTCCTACACATGCTTAGAAGGGGATTATTAAAAGTGGCTTGTATAACTGTAAGGATATCAAGGGAATGATTTGAGTTTTCGGAGGCTTGCATAAAATGCTTAATTGTATTTTATAGGGTAAGCATTGTTAATTAATAGTGATAGTTCAGATATGTATACCTCTAATATTGGTATGTTTTTTTCTTTTTAAACATGCATCTTATATGGATTTTTGTTTGTTTTTAAGGATATTTTGGAACTCTTAGAAAAAAGAGTGAAGTCACGATTTTCTCACCGGCAGATACATTTAATGAATTCATTTGGTTTTCCACAGTATCTTAAAATATTTAAAGAACAATTATCTCTACCTGCAGAATTTCCAGACAAGATCTTCACTGAGAAGTGGAATGAGAATGTTCAGGTAACTTGGAACGGAGGCAATAATCTTTAAATAATTTTTGTGCCTTGCTATACCACTGAAAGCTTATAAAAACCTACAAATTTAAACAAATTTGTAAATTAGCACAAAGATTCTAGTGTTATTATAGCATAAAACTGCATTAATACGAATTACACACTTTTTTGTGTTATTTTCTTTTAAAAGACATTTGAAATGTCATATCCTAAATTTTTTCTCTCAAAAGAACTTTAATGAGATTTTTGTTCTGTTTCAATCTGGCTTATATTTTAGGTTATTCTGTTAATATTTAGAATATTATAAAAATATTATTTTCATTATTTACAAGTTTAGCAATATTTTAGCTTGGTGGTTCGTACCTAACAATCCAGTATGGATTTTTTCCCCCTCTAATTCTCCTACAATTTCAGCTTTTATCTCATTGGGTCTATTAAGTCAAACTAGGTTTGGCACCTCTGGTTGTATGTCTAAATTGGTGAATCTCATCTTGTAGTCTCTGGAGCCCTCAGGGTCTTCTACCCCGGCACACTCGCATGTTGATTTAAAGGTTTACTAAAACCTTGTGGACTCTGTAAATTTATCTATGCTTAAATTGAATAGCCTAACATATATAGGCTATTGTCATACCAACTCAACATACTAGCATCAGTTTATCTTATGCTGTCAAGAATTTTCAGTTGGCAGGGAGAAGGGAGAGAGTATATGTGTGGGAGTGTGTTTAATAGCACAATTGAAAAACAGTGTTGTTGAATAAATCCCACATGGTAGAATCTTTCAGAAATATGGGTCTTCTGAAAGTAGAAAATAATTTAGAGTCCTTGGTTTTGAAAGAATTGGGAAAAACTGGTCTATGATATTAAATACTGATGAGGATGATTAGATCTTTGGATAATTAAAGTTGCAAAGTCTGTATTCACTGGCTCTAAGAATATTGTTTTATGTCAAAGCAGTAATTATTAATTTTTTTTGTAGTTTCAAGTTTTTATTTAAATTCTAGTTGGTTAATACACAATGTAATATTAATTTTAGGTGTCGTATCCAGCAGTTTATCACTAACATACAACTCACGGTGCTCATCACAAGTGCCTTCCTTAATATCCACCACCCATTTAACCCAACCCCTTCCTACCTCCCCTCCAGCAACCCTCAGTTTGTTCTCTATAGTTAAGAGTCTGGAGGCACCTGGGTGCCTCAGTTGGTTAAGTGTCCAACTTGGTTTTGGCGTAGGTCATAATCTTGCAGTCATGAGATCGATTCCTGCATCAGGTTCTGTGCTCAGCACAGAGTCTGTTTCATATTCTCTCTGCCTCTCCTCCCTCCCTCCCACTCACTCTCTCTTTTTCTCAAATAAATAAAATCTTAAAAAAAAAAAGAGTCTTTCCTGGTTTGCCTCTCTTTTTTTACCCCATGTTCATCTGTTTCATTTAAATTTCACTTAGTGAAATAGTATGGTATTTGTCTTTCTCTGACTGCCTTATTTCGCTTAGCATAATACTCTCTAGTTCCATCCACGTCGTTGCAAATGGCAGTATTTCATTCTTTTTTATGGCTAATTAATATTCTGTTGTATATACATACCATGACTTCTTTATCCATTTATCTATTGATGGACATTTGGGCTCTTTCCGTTATTTGGCTTATGTTAATAATGAATTCAAAAAATGGATAAAAGACCTGTGAGACAGGAAATCATCAGAATCCTAGAGGAGAACATGGGCAGCAACCTCTTTGACCTTGGCCATAGCAACTTCTTACTAGATAAATCTCCTGAGGCAAGGGAAACAAAAGCAGAAATGAACTATTGGGACTTCATCAAGATAAAAAGCTTCAGGTGCCTGGGTGGCTCAGTTGGTTAAGCGACTGCCTTCGGCTCAGGTCATGATCCTGGAGTACCAGGATCGAGTCCTGCATCGGGCTCCCTGCTCAGCAGGGAGTCTCCTTCTCCCTCTGACCCTCCCCCCTCTCATGCTCTCTATCTCATTCTCTCTCTCAAATAAATAAATAAAATCTTAAAAGAAAAAAATTTGTTAAAATAAAAAGCTTCTGCACAGCAAGGGGAACAGTCAAGAAAACTAAAAGGCAACCTTCAGAATAGAAGAAGATATTTGCAAATGACATATCTGATAAAGGGTTAGTATCCAAAATATATTAAGAACTAATCAAACTCAACACCCAAGAAACAAATAATGCAGTTAAAAAATGGGCAGAAGACATGAATAGACATTTTTCCAAAGAAGATATACAGATGGCTAATGGACACATGAAAAGATGCTCAACATCACTTATCAGGGAAATACAAATCACAACTACAATGAGATATCACATCACACCTGTCAGAATGGCTAAAATTAACACAGGAAACAACAGATGTTGGTGAGGATGTGGAGAAAGGGGAACCCTCCTACACTATTGCTGGGAATTGAAACTGGTACAGCCACTGTGGAAAACAGTAAGGAGGTTACTCACAAAGTTAAAAATAGAACTACCCTACGATCCAGCAACTGTACTAGTAGGTATTTACCCAAAAGATATACAAATACTGATTTGAAAAGCAGTCATGATTTTAATCTTAAATATCAATACCAAATTAAAAGTGAGAACTTTGCATTTATTTTGTTCTTAAACAATTTTTTATTTTTTCCCAGCTTTGTTGAGGTATAATTGACAAAAGTTATATATGTTTCAGGGTACAACTTGATGTTTTGATATACATGTATATCATGAAATACCACAATGAAGCTATTCAACTCATCCATCACCTCAGTAGTTACCGTTTTCTTTCTTGTTTTTCTTTTTTCTTTTGTGGGAAGAGGTGAGATCTCTTGTTTTTCTTTTTTTCTTTTGTGGGAAGAGGTGAGAATACTTATGAGCTGTCTTCTGAGCAAATTTCAAGTGTACAATACTGTATTGTTAACCATAGTCACATTTTTACTGTTGTTATACTCCAAAATTTACTCATCTTGCATAACTAAAACTTGATTCGTTTTGATTATAAAATATAGTCTGCTCATCTAAGCATTACTAATTTTGTCACTTTTCATTTTTTTAAATTAAAAGTTCACTGAACAAGGGAACACCTGGCTGGCTTAGTCGGAAGAGCATGCAACTCTTGATCTTGGCATTGTGGTTTCAAGCCTCACATTGAGTGTAGAGATTACTGAAAGTTCACTGATCAAAATTTAATCAGTATAAGAATACATGGTAAAACGTACAAGTTTCCCTTATATCCATGCCCATTCTACTTCCTTATACTACACTACAGAGTAATTATTTGATTTATAGCGTTTCAAACATATATATACTGAAGTTGTTTTTACAAAGAGAGTTCAAACTTTGCATATTGTTCTGATTGACAGTTTTGTATTATTTTGTAGTGTAACTATACAGAATTGAATGGAAAAATGGTTATCCTTAAAATTCAGAGATTGTGCTGTGATACAATTAGGTGTGGGTTTTTCCTTTTCCCCTTCTCCCCAGATTAATCCTGTCTGGGACTCAGATATTTGTTAGCCCAGGGAAGTTTTTTTGATACTCCATCTTATTATAAGATTCTGTTCTTTAAGAAACCTTTATATTTGGTACCCCCACATTGTCCCTTTCCTTACCTAGGTCTGGAGTGGAACAAGCTCTGCATCTTTGGCCTCTGAATCCACTTTTCAGTGCTTTACAGACTTTTACCTTCTTCAGTTCCTGAACTGATTATCTTGTTAACAACAGTATTTTTTTCTGACTTCTTTAGAGATCCAAGTTCAGTCTTTCATAGTATTTAAATGTCTTTGCTTTGCCAGGACTCTTTATTTCTGTCCCTGCTCCCTTTCTTTTCCTAAGATGACTACATAGCCCAGGTTATACAGTGCTGGTACCAATCTTTCTGTCCTTCACAGAATATTGCATTCTCTGCAACCAAGTGGGTATATAAAGGAGTTAGATGAAAGGGATAACTGGTGAAGCATAATTCTGGATGACTTGGAAAATGGTAACCATTCAGCAGGAGGGTGGCTAGCCCTTAGGTTTTTGGTCCTTTTTTGCTGATCCTGTATCACTGAATTTAGGGGCAGATGGTAGAAATGAATGTGAGCGCTATCCTTTTGTTTTTTGGGGTTTTTTGTTTGTTTCTTTCTTTGTTTTACAATATTGCAGTTCTTTTATAATGTAGAAGTAATACCACTGGACTTTGTGTCTTAGTTCTAGTATTTTGTTCCCTGTATCATCATCCTCATTTGCCACTTCCCTTTGGTATGCTAATGGATGTGCTTCACTTGGAATATATGTCAGCACCATGGCCAGAAGCCTTGCCCAGGAAAGTGGGGGTTGCTTTGAGGGAGCTATCCTTTCTCTCAGTACTGACTACCCAGCAAGTTTTTCTGATCCCAGGTTTAAAAAAACAACAAACAAAAAACAATGGTATAGATAACAGGTCGCCTATGGAATCTCATCCAAGAAGTATCTTCAGGATATGGTTGAACCTGGACATCCTGTCTAACTTGAATGTTTTAGCCATACCTCAAATGAGTCAAGTAAGTTAAGCAGAGTAAACACCATCCCAGCATGGCAGTATAAGGAGAAATCCCTGAATGAAAGAGCATTTTAAAGGATCATAACTAATTCTCCTCAAAGGAAATTCTCCCAAAGTACTATAGCTAAGTTCAAGGAACATTTACCTACTGTCATAACCTTCCCTTTAGTTAACAGAAGGTGGGAAGATTGAGCAGGAACTGACTAGGAGATTTAGTACATATACTGCTGCCACTAAGTTATCCCTGGAGCATCATGAGTTCTGAGGTACCAGTGAAACTCTGTTACATTCTGCTTAGAATCTGCCTGTGAAGAGGGCACCAGCCAAGCAAACTGTACAATTAGTACAATAAGACCTTGTTTCTGCAGCTGCTACTCATGTGTTCATCAGTGAAAAGTTAATGTTTCAGCTTCCTTGAATAACAGGGGAGGTCTGCTTTGTTTCTGGGAATTTCCCCATGTTCCTATAAGGGGTGATGTCAGTCAGTGATTCTGTGTCTTTATTTCCCTTGCATCATTTCCTGAGCCAACTATAAGGGAGCTTTCAATACAGAGAAATAAGAAATTCATTAGTGTTTCAAAACCCAAGATCTAATATCTTCAATGACTATCATAGTTAAATATAATAGACATCCAAAGAGTTGTGGGTTTTTTTTATAATAGCCTTATATCTCCAAGTAGTTTATAGTGTTGGAATCAAGGTGAAAGTGTATTAAGAGATTTTTTTTTTGTTAGAGATTTTTATTTATTTATTTGAGAGAGCGAGAATGAGAGAGAGCACATGAGAGGGGGGAGGGTCGGAGGGAGAAGCAGACTCTCCGCTGAGCAGGGAGCCCGATGCGGGACTCGATCCCGGGACTCCAGGATCATGACCTGAGCCGAAGGCAGTTGCTTAACCAACTGAGCCACCCAGGCGCCCAAGAGATTTTTTTTAATGGCTCACATACAGATCTTCTAGACTTCTTTTTAAAGCACATTAAGTAATTATGGAAGCAAGAAGGTGATAGCTTTCAGAAATACGGGGAGTTGGATTCAGACCTCTAAAAATACAAGAAAAAAGACAGAGAGAGTATAGGTTAGCCCTTTGAAGCATCGTGTAGAAGAAAAGCAATTAACTAACTGTTCTTAAAAATAATTGAATTCTTAGGGAGAAAATTTCTTTTATCAATATTTTTGTTCCAGGTGATTTTTTTTTTATAGTTTTAGTTTTAACAGGACTACAGTTAATTCCCAGAAGTTTTTTATGTGTATTACTTTGCTTTATTATTTTGTGTTCATTTTGTGTACTCTCAATAGTAACAGCAAGCAAATTGTTACAGTCAAAGAGAATACTGAAAAGAATGACAAGGGAATAGGGACTATAACTAGGAAAATGTATTTATTGAGAGCATAAAACTTTATTCCATTATACTGAACTTATTCTTGAATCTGGATCTACTTACAGTAGAGGTATGAGATATAACAGTTTTACTCTAGAAAATAAGGTTTCCTGGGTTTTTTGTTTGTTTTAAAAAAAGAATCCTTATTCCTTACAGATGATTTTTGAAAATTTATGTCAATCTTGCCCAGGCTGTTTTTGGCTCTGCCAGCTGTGAGTTTACTCTCCTTACATCAAATTTTTTCTTTAATGCCAAATGTACCTTACTTTTCATTAATTCTAATGCACTACAATCACAATTGCTTTTTCAAAGGACCTTATTGATCTCCACATTTCCAAAGTGATTAGTTTCTTCTCAAAATATATTTTAGTTTAATTATACTAAGTAATTTACATTGTTGATCACTACTTCCTTCTTAAAGTTTTCTTCCCTTGGTTTAATTGCTCTCTCTTGGATTATTTTCCAGTCTTCAGTATCTTTCTCAGTCTCTTTGCTCTTTTTCCATTTAGTTCTTAAATATTGATAACCAAGTTTCACTTTTTGACCACATTTCACTCTTCATTCATCCTGGGATGTTCTGTCCCCAAAATATCATTTCTGATTTTTTTCTTCGCTCTCTCAAGCCCTTGCTTCTCCACACATCACCATTTGACTCTCCATCAGACCATGTCTTCTATAAATGTCTTAATTCTCTATTCACACTATTAATTCAGACCCTTTTTGTCTCTTATATGGACAATTGCAATGGCCCACAATTAGGTTTTTCTGTCCTTGTCCTTCCATGAAATCGCTTTGCCAATAACTGAAACTCAGGGTTACATGACTACTCATTTTCTGTCAGTATGCCACGATCTTCCTTCATTGCTCCTGCTGTTCCCTATAACTGGAATACTCTTTCTTTTTACCTTATTGACTCATATAGTTTAAGCATTCTTTGTATTGCTTTACCTTGTGTTCCCCGATATAGTAACTCTTATTCTCTCTTATGTTTTGTGCTGAGTTTTGATCATCCCACTGGTATGACTGTATAGTTTCCCTTTTTAGATCAGAAAGTTTGGGGTAGCAGGTATTATGTTTTGTTTTTGTGTATTTTAATTAACATAAAGGGATAAGAAGAAAATTAATAGACTGGAAATTTCATTTTGATTTTTGTATTCTACAGAATAAAACCAACACCTATTTAATAATGAATGAATATCAGAGTTAATGAGGTACACCAATAGTGAGGCACATTGTAGTTTTTAAACTGCCTTGTTCCTTATCTGTTTTGATTTTTTTTTTCTCTAGTGTCTCACAGAAGATAGAAGTGTGCGAGAAGTACTACAAAAGCATTTCAATGTCAGCAAAAACCTACGGTCATTACACATGCTATTGGTTTGTATTCATTTTATTTTTACACTCATTTTATTTCACCAGGTAATTGTATTTTGATGGGAATTGATTAAACTTACAGATAAATTTTGGGAGAATTAACATGATTACTACATCAAATCTTCCAATCTGGAATAAGGTACATTTCTCCTTTTATTTAGTTTTTCTTTGATTTGTTTAATCATCATTTTATAATTTTTACCACACAGATTTTGTGTATGTTTAAAGTGTATATCTAAGTATTTAATTTTCTTTGGAACTGATATTTTGTAAATACCATATTTAAATGATATCTTGTTTTTAATTATGTTTTCAACATTCTCATTGTTAGTATATAGAAATTTGTTTATTTCTAATGGTAAGTTTATGTCTAATGGTATAGTAAATGTCTGCGACTATTAAAATTTATGGCTGCTAATAGTGTAAATATGTCTAGGTACTGTGGCAAATTAGATTTCTAGAGAAACTCAGATGCACAAGAAGACATGTACAAGATTATTTGCAGCAGCCTTGTTTATAATTGCCAAAAAAGGGAAATGACAGATATCGATCAGTAAGGGAAAGAATAATTAAGTTGTGAGTATACATAAAGGAATATAATACAATAGAAAAAATGAATGAACTAGAAGTGATACCTCAATATGATAAATTCTCAGAATACATGTTCAGTGAAGAGAGAGTTGTAGAAGTACAATATGGTATTTATATAAAATTTGGAAATTACTCTCTGTTGTCTAGGAATATATACATACGTAGTAGAAGTGTAACAACATGGCTTTTTGTATGAAGAAGAGTAGAGAATCCAACTAGGGGAAGAAATAGATCCTATAAGATTATATTTTGTAAGCTGAGGAAGTAGTTGTAGATATCCAGTACAGTATTATCTTGCCTTTTTATGTAAGAAGCATTTTACAGTAAAAGGAAAGAGTAAGAGAAGGAGTTACTGTGTATCAGGTCTCTCCCAGTAGGGGAATGAAGGAAAAGGATTTCCAAACTCTTCTGTTCAACTCAGGACCCTGGGCCCTGGTTTGCCTGGGAGATTTATACTTAGTATAAATATTTCTTCAATTTTACATGGTACTTAATTACACCTAAGAAATTACTCATTTTTTAGCTGGAATTCAAATTTAACCAAATATCATACATTTTCATCTGCTAACTCTGCTTACCCTATTTAATGACTAAATTTGAGTGTTACGAAAATTACACTTAAAGAAATCTTCAAATGGTTGGAAAGGCAACTAGCTACATGAGGTATAATTTGGTTTTTAATTTTTTTCTATTATGTACAGTTGAATATAAAGTAGGTAACTTCTATCACTTAACACTAACCTGAACTGGTTAATTGTTCAGTAACAATTAGTAAAAAAGCTTATACAAGTCACAGGTCTGCCTTTTTGGTTTGGTCTAGGGCTTTGAATAATAGTGTTTTTGTTTTATTAATTGAAGTACAGTTGACACACAATATATGTTAGTTTCAGTCATACTGGCATAGTGACTTGACATTTTTATACATTACAAAATGATCACCACGGTAAGTATAGTCACCATATGTCACCTTACAAAGTTATTTCAGTGTAATTGACTATATTCTCTCTGCTATACTTTACATCCCTGAGACTGACTTATTTTAAAACTCGAAGTTTGTATTTCTTGATCCCTTTCACCTATTTCACCCATCTCTTTACCCCTCTCCCCTCTGGCAACCATGAGTTTGTTCTCTGTGTTTACAAATCTGTTTTTGTTTTATTTTTAGATTCCACATGTAAGTAAAATCATATGGTATTTGTCATTTTCTGTCAGACTTATTTCACTTAGCATGATACCCTCTCGGTCCATCCATGTTGTCATGGATGGAAAGATTTTCTTTTTTTTATGTCTGAGTAATACTCCATTGTGTATGTATGTGTGTATTATCTTCTTTATCCATTCACCTGTTGATGGACAAGTAGATTGCTTCCATATCTTGGCTGTTGTAAATTTTATGCTGTAATGAACATAAAGGTACAAATATCTTTTCGAGTTAGTGTTTTTGTTTTCTACGAGTAAATACCCAGAAATGGAATTGCTGGGTTGTACAGTAGTTCCATTTTTAGCTTTTTGAGTAATCTCCCTACTATTTTCCATACTGGCTGTACCAATTTATATTCCCAAAACAGCAGGAGGATTTCTTTTTCTCCACATCCTCGTAACACTTGTTGTGTTTACCTTTTTTAATACTAGCCATTCTGACAGGTGTGAGGTAATCTAATTATGATTTTGATTTGCCTTACCCTGATGATGAGTGATGTTGAACATGTTTTCATGTGTCTCTTGGCCATCTGTATGTCTTTGGAAGTGCCCGTTCAGCTCCTTGCCCATTTTTTAATCCAACTGTTTCAGGTTTTGATAATGAGTTCTATGAGTTCTTTATATATTTTGGATATTAATCTCAATCAGATATATTTGCAAATATGGGAGAAGTCATTAGATTGACTTTTTGTTTTGTTGATGGTTCCCTGTACCGTGCAAAAGTATTTTAGTATTTGTAGTCTCAATTGTTTATTTTTTGTTGTCCTCACTTGTAGAGACAGTTACAAAAAAATATTGCTGAGACAGATATCCAAGAGTTTACTGACCAGTGTTTTGTTTTTGCTTAAAGAGTTTTATGGTTTCAGGCCTTAATTTAGGTCTTTAATCCATTTGGGGTTTGTTTTTATATATGGTATAAGAAAGTGGTCCAGTGTCATTCTTCAGCATATAGCTGTCCAGTTTTCCCAACACCATTTATTGAAGACCATCTTTTCCCCATTATATATTCTTGCCTTTTTTGTCATAGATTAATTGACCATAAATGTGTGGCTTTATTTTTGGTTTTACTCTTCTATTCCATTGATCTATGTGTCTATTTCCATGCCATAACATACTGTTTTGATTGCTATAGCTTTGTAGTATAGATAATCTGGGAATGTGCTACTTCCAGCTTCGTTCTTCTTTCTGAAGATCACTTTGGCTTTTCCAGGGTCCTTTGTGGTTTCATACAAATTTTAGGATTATTTGTTCTAGTTCTGTGGAAAATGCTGCATTTAATTTATAGATTACGTGGGTAGAACAGACATAAACAATGTTAGTTCTTCCAGTCCATAAGCATGGTATATTTTTCCATTTATTTGTGTCACCCTCAATTTCTTTAATCAGTGTTTTAATAGGTTTTAGAAGAAAGGTTTTTCACCTCATTGGTTGGTTAAATTTATTTCTAGGGATTTTATTCTTTTTGATGCAGTTGTAAATAGGATTGTTTTCTTAATTTCTCTTTCTGCTAGTTTATTAATATACACAGCAGGTTTCTATGTATTAACTTTGTGTCCTGCAACTTTACCTGAAGTATTTGTTAGTTCTAATGATTTTTTGGTGACGTCTTTAGAATTTCCTATCCTAATATTATGTCATCTGCAAATAGTGACAGTTTTACCTCTCCTTAACCACTTTGGGTGCCTTTTATTTCTTGTCTGATTGCTGCAGTTAGGACTTCCAGTAGCATGCTGATTAAAAGTGTGAGAGTCAGCATCCTTGTCTTGTTCCTGATCTTTAAGGAAAAGTTTTCAGCTTTTATGATGTTGGCTGTGGGTTTTCATGTATGGATGGCCTTTATTGTATTGAGGTATGTTCCCTCTATATAACTTTGTTAAGTGCTTTTATCATGAGTGGATATTGAATTTTGCCAAGCTTTTCTGCATCTGTTGTGATGATTATATGATTTTTATGCTTCAATTTGTTAATGTGGTGCATCATATTGATTGATTTGTGGATCTTGAACCATCGTTGCATCCCTGGAATAAATCCTGCTTGATCATGATGAATGATCCTTTTAATGTATTGTATTCAGTTTGATTGGGAATATTGGCCTGTAATTTTCTGTTTTTGTAGTGGTTTTGGTATCAGGCTAATGCTGGCCTCGTAGCCATTCCTTCCTCTTCAGTTTTTTGGAATTGTTTGAGAAGTATAGGTATTAACTCTTTGAATGTTTGGGAGAATTCACCTGTGAAGCCATCTGGTTCTAGAATTTTATTTCTTGGGAGTTTTTATTTTTATTATTTTTTAAAGATTTATTTGTTTGAGAGAGAGAGGGTACCAAGCACGAATGGGAGGGGCAGAGGGAGAGAGGATCTCAAGTGGACTCCGTGTGGGTGGGGAGCATGACACGGGGCTTGATCTCAGGACCTTAAGATGACAACCGGAGTGGAAACCAAGAGTAGGACAGACGCTTAATCCACTACACCACCCAGGCACCCTGTGGGAGTTTTTAAGTTATTGTTTTAATTTTGTTACTAGTATCCGGATTTTCTGTTTCTTCCTGATTCAGTTTTGGAAGATTGTATATTTCTAGGAATTTATCCATTTCTTCTAGGTTGTCCAATTTGTTGGTATATAAATTTTCATAGTAGTCTCTTATATCTTATAATCCTTTGTATTTCTGTTGTGTCAGTTGTAACTTCTCTTTTATTTCTGATTTTGAGTCCTGTTTTTATCTTGATGAATCTGTCTAAAGGTTTGTCAGGTTTGTTTATCCTTTCAAACAATCAGCTCTTAGTTTCACTGATGTTTTTTCTGATTTTGTTTTTTTTTTTAAATCTCTCTTTCATCTGTTTTCACTCTGATCTTTACTACTTCCTCCCTTGTACTGGCTTTAGGCTTTGTTCTTCTTTTTCTAGTTCTTCTGAATGTAACATTAGATTCTTACCTTGAGATTTTTCTTGTGTCTTGAGGTAAGCCTGTATTACTATAAACTTCCCTCTTCAAACTGCTTTTGCTCTATCCCAGAGATTTTGGAACACTGTATTAACATTCTCATTTGCCTCCATGTAGTTTTCTATTATCTCTTTGATTTCTTTGTTGACTCATTATGTTGTTTAGTCTCCATGTGTTTGGGTTTTTTTCCAGTTTTCTTTTCTTGTGAATAATTTCCTGTTTCATACTATTGTGCTCAAAAAAGATGCTTGATACAATTTCAGTCTTACTAAATTTATTGAGACTTGTTTTCTGGCGTAACATGTAACCTGTCCTGGAGAATGTTCCACATACACTTGACAAGAATGTGTTTGGTGCTGTTTTTGGATGGAATGATCTGTATATATCTGCTGAATCCATTTGGCTAGTCTGTTAAGGCCAGTGTTTCCTTATTGATTTTCTGACTGGATGATCTGTCCATTGATGTAAGAGTTGTTAAATTATAACATGTAATTATAATTATAAAACTATGGTATTACGGTCAATTTCTCCCTTTGTGTCTGTTAATATTTGCTTTATATATTTAGGTGCTTCTGTGTTGGGTGGATTATATTTACAGTTGTTATATTCTCTTATTGGATTGATCCCCTTATCATTGTATGATCTTCTTGTGTCTTATCACAGTCCTTATCTTTTTTTTCTTTTCATTTTTTAAAATTTTATTATGTTATGTTAATCACCACACATTACATCATTAGTTTTTGATGTAGTGTTCCATGATTCATTGTTTGCATATAACACCCAGTGCCCCATTCAATACATGCCCTCTTTAATACCCATCACCAGGCTAACCCATCCCCCCCAGCCCCCTCCCCTCTAGAACCCTCAGTCCTTGTGTTTTTTAAGGTGTGTTTTGTCTATATACATTGCTACCCTGGCCTTCCCCGCGCCTCCCCCATTTGCATGGAATATCTTTTTCCATCCCTTCACTTTCAGTGTGTATATATACTTAGGTCTGAAGTGAGTCTTGTGTAGGCAGCATATAGATGGGTCTTGTTTTTTTAATCTTTTCAGTAACCCTATGCCTTTTGATTGGAGCACTTAGTCCATTGACATTGAAAGTGGTTTTTGTTAGGTATGTACTTACTGCACTTTCATTGTTTTCTGGTTGTTTTTATAGTTCTTTTCTGTTCCTTTCTTCTCTTGCTCTCTTCCCTTGTGACTTTATTTAGTATTATGTTTGGATTCCTTTCTCTTTATTTTTTGTGTATCTATTTTAAGTTGTTGGTTTGTGATTACCGTGAGGTTTATATATATAACACTGTATGTTAGCAGTCTATTTTAAGTTGGTAGTTGCTTAAATTCAAAAGCATTTTAGGGGTGCCTGGGTGGCTCAGTCCAGGGTCCAACTCTTGATCTTGTCTCAGGTCTCAGTCTCTGGGTTGTGACTTCAGACCCCATGCTAGGTATGGATCCTACATAAGAAACAAACAAAAAAAGCATTTTAAAAGCACTAATGTTTACTCTCCTCCCACTCTCACATTTTATGTATTAGATTGCATGTTTTACATATTTTTATTTAGTATATGCCTTAACTAATCATAGATACAGTTGATTTTATTACTCTTTAATCTTCCTACAAGCTTTATAATTGATTGCTCTCCTCCCTTTACTATATGTTTGCTTTTACCGGTGAAACTGTTTCTTTCATAATTTTTAAATTTCCTCTTAGGGCCTTTTCTTTTTTGCTTAAAGAGTTCTTTTAACATTTCTTGTAAGGCTGGTTCAGTGGTAATGAATTCCTTTATCTTAGAAACTTTTTCTCTCTCCTTCAATTCTGAATGATAATTTTGCTTTGTAGAATATTCTTGGTTGTAGGTTTTTTCCTTTCAGCACTTTGAATATTCTGTCTTGTTGTAGACCTCTTTGGATTCATCTTCTTTGGGGTTTTCTGTACTTCCTTTCTTGGACCTCGATGTCTGTTTCCTTCCCCAGGTTAGGGAAATTTTCAGCTATCATTTCTTCAAATAAGTTTCCTGCCCCTTACTCTCTTTCTTCTTCTTCTGGGACCCCTTATATAATGTGAATGTCAGTATGCTTGATGTTGTCCTAGTGGTCCCTTAACATATCCTCATTTTTTAAAATTCTTTTTCCTATTTGCTATACAGCTTGGGTCCTTTCCATTACCTTGTCTTCCAGATTGCTGATCATTCTTCTGCATCTTTTAATCTGTTGTTCATTTCAGTTATTGTATTCTTCAGCTATGATTGATTCTTTTTTCTATTTCTTGTCTCTTTTTTGAAGTTCTCACTAAGTTCATCCACACGTCTCCGAAGTGGTGATTTGATGATTATCTTTATGACAGTTATTTTGACATCTTTATCAGACAGATTGTTTAAATAACTCCATTGTTTAGTTCTTTTTCTGAAGTTTTGTCTTTTTTCATTTGGAACATACTCTTCTGTCTCCTTATTTTGTCTGACTCTGTGTTTGTTTATATTAGGTAGCTCCGTCTCCCGGTCTTGAAAGTAGCGGCTTTATATAGAGGGCATCCTCTGGAGCCCAGAAGTACAATCTTTCAGGTCACTAGAACCTGGAGCTTCAGGGCTGTTTCATGTGGGCTGCTTGCACCTCTCTTTTGTCACTGGGCCACTACTGCTGAAGTTACACTTGTCAGGGCTGGTTCCTGGCCCAAATGGTGGCAATGCCTCACCACAACTACTGCAGACACACCAGTATGTGGAGCTGGCCCAGCCCAGGTGGCTGAGAAGCCCAGCTGCAGCCACTGAGGGCAGGTGGGTGGGGCAGTCCCTCTGGCTCATTGTGAGATCCCACCATGACTCTTGTGTGCTTGCTGGTGGGTGGGGTTGGCCCCCCTTTCCTTGGGTAGGACTTATTTGGAAGGGGTACCTACCAGGTGGGTGATTCGTATGGTGCAGTTCCACAGGGGAATGCCCCTGGTGTGGATAGTGGTGCTAACAAGGTAGATGGATAGTGTCACAACTGGCTCTTCCAAGCATCTAACTAGCTTGGCTGAAGGAAAACGAGAATATTGCTGCCAGTACTTCCATTCCCAAAGAAAGCTCCTACAGATCCCTGTCCCTCCAGCACTATGTATACCTTAAATTAGTATACTTTATGTATGGCCCAGGTGTTTTTGAAACTTAAGCCTCTGAGCAATTGAAATTTTTTTTTTTTTTAAGATTTTATTTATTTATTTGAGAGAGAGAATGAGAAAGAGAGAGCATGAGAGGGGGGAGGGTCAGAGGGAGAAACAGACTCCCCGCTGAGCAGGGAGCCCGATGTGGGACTCAATCCCGGGACTCCAGGATCATGACCTGAGCTGAAGGCAGTCGCTTAACCAACTGAGCCACCCAGGCGCCCTGAGCAATTGAAATTTTGTGTGGGCCCATAAGAATGGAGTCTCCATTTCCTGTAGTCCCTCTGGCTCTCCCAGATTTAAGCCCCACTGATTTTCAAAGCCAGACATTATGGGGGCTCGTCTTCCTGGTGCAGATACCCAAGGCAGAGGGTTCCCAATGTAGGGTGTGAACCCCTCACTCCTCAGGAAGAACTGCCACACCTCCTGCTGCGGGTCGCTGCACTGGGTTTTTGGTTCCTACCCCAGCCACACATCTCTGGCTCTTTTTACCCTTCTCAGTGTAGCTTTTTAAAATATATTCCAGCTGTGCGTTCGTGCACGAGCAAACACACACACACACACACACACACACACACACACTCCTCAGCTGCTGGTTTTCAGAGCGTTCTCAGAGTTGCTTTATATGTAGTTTCAATCTTGTGTCCATGGGAGGAAGTGAGCTCAGGTACTTCCCTACTCCATTTTCCCATGAAATCAAAATAACTTTTGAATAGCATTCTTACCTATTTTGGATCTCTTCTTGCTCTACTCCTTTTTAAGTGTTTTTCTTTTGAGAAATTGAAAATAAGATGTGCAAGTGGGAAGAGGTAGAGAGAACAGCAAGAACTTTTTTTTTTATGCTTTACATTTATAGAGTTACATAGCATATGTATTGAAATACTATATTTTAATAGAGCCAAGTATGAGAATACCTTTCCCAAGTATTAATATTAACTCTTCCATAAGAATAGACTCCAAATGAAGAAATTTTGTTCAGTAATATCTCCAGAATGCCTAAGTAAACATGTAAATGTTTTTCTAATCCACATTTCCCTAGATGCTTGCTTTAAATCGTGTAACAACATCACACCCATTTATGACTGCAGCAGATGTGATGGAGGCAAACCAGTTGTGTAGCATGGACTCTAAAGCAAATATTGTACATGGTGAGAAGCCTGCTTAATTAGTTTTTTATAAGTTTAAGTTAATATAATGGAATTCTTTCAAAATTATACTTAACATTGGGTATAACACAAAATACTTTTATATCCATACATCCTTTAACTAAGCCCTGCAAAAGGTATTATCACTCCCATTTAAAGTGAAAGAATCTCGATGCTCTCCCTCCCTTGCTACATTGGAAATCCAGCTAAGACTTATATTGTAGGCATTCACATTGCATCAAGTGCTTCTAAAGAGCCTTGGCATTGAAGGTTCACTATCCCTTTTAAGAATTTAATGAATTTTCTTCTCTCCAGAAAAAAAAGAAAAAGATACAATTTCCAGGTGTTTAGGGTTTCTCTGAATAATCAAGGACCCTACGTGATTTAAAGTACATAATTGCAGGGGCGCCTGGGTGGCTCAGTCTAAACGTCTGCTTTTGGCTCAGGTCATGATCTCAGGGTCCTGGGATCGAGCCCTGGGTCAGGCTCCCTGCTCAGTGGGGGGTCTGCACCTCTCCTCCCCTCAAATAAATAAAATTTTAATAAATAAATACACAATTGCAGTGTCAGTTTATGTTTATTATGGGCCATGTGATAAGTGCTTGATAGTATTCTCTCTAATCCTTATAACATCTCTGTAAGCTTAAGAAGATTCTTAGTTTGCTTATATGAAAGCTAAGCCCAGGAAGGTGGAGCAGTTTGCTTAGGACTGTATAAGTAATAGTGACTGAAACACGTTTGAACCTGGGGGAGGCCTTGATCTCCTGCCACCCCTCAAAACCATGGTCTTTCACTTTATTATTCTATTTGGAGGACAGTTACTTCAATCTTATGGATCAGTAAGTTAACATACAACTCATAATTCGTTTTCCTTTTACTATAGGTCTGTCAGTCTTGGAAATCTGTCTTATAATAGCAATGAAACATTTAAATGACATCTATGAAGAGGAGCCCTTTAACTTTCAAATGGTCTATAATGGTGAGATGAGACTTTGGTTTCTTTCTGACTCTACCTCACTGCTTATTTGAGGGTGTTAATGTTGTTATTGCTTTCTGTCCAGAGTTTCAGAAGTTTGTTCAAAGGAAGGCCCATTCTGTTTATAATTTTGAGAAACCTGTTGTCATGAAGGTAAGATTTAAGTTCACTGTTATTTTTCTGCATACAGGTATGTTTTTACATCCAGTTTGATTGTATATATCATAGTTGAACTCTAATTTTGATACATTAGGTATTTATCATAGAAATTTTTTTTGCATAACAAATTATCTCAAAATGAAACGTTTGAATAATTCTAAAGCAGTCAGGTATTTCCCAGTTTGTGGAAGTATACTGCCCTCTACTGTCTGTTTCTAGCACTGCATTGTGCAAAGAACTATACATTACAGTTCATCAATAAAATTCTGTCCCTGTATAACCCAAAGGTTGGCTTTATAATCTTAGCAGTAAAAAGATAAAAATGACAATATTAGCCATTAATAGAAACTAAAGGATAAAATATGGGCTAGTGAGGACATACAAAGTTTTATTAGGGATTGGTTAAGTCATGAGTTTTAAAACTTGAGGAACTTCATTAGCGTGTACCATTGTCCTTTAGAAATATGTGAGCCACATAGTGTAATACTGGATTTCCTAGTAGCAACAAAAAGTTAAAAAGGTGAAATTAACTTTAATGACAAATTTTATTTAACCTAATATACCAAAAACATTTTAGTCTATAATCAATACAGAAAATTATTGTGTTATACTTTATTTTGTTTTGTATTAAGTTTTTGAAATTTCATGTGTGTTTACACTTAAAGCGATCTTAATTCACTAAATATTCATTGGAAATACTTGTTCTTTAGATTTCATAAAATTTGTAGCTGAAGTAGATTTACATTCTGAATTATTCCAAACGAACTTAAAATTTTCTAATTGACTTGAGTATCAAATTTTACATTAAATTTAATAATTAATAAACAAATAAAATTAAAAATCAAGTTCCACGAATAGCAGTAGCCCTCTGTGGTCACCTTACTGGACAGTGCAGTTCTAGAGGACTTTATGGGGAAAAGCATCTCCTTCCCTCCCTCCTTCCTTCCTTTCTTTCCCTCCCTCCCTCCTTTCTTTCCTTCCCATCCTTCCTTCCCTCCTTTCTTTCCTTCCCTTCTTTATTTTTTTCCTGCCCTCCTTCCTTTCCTTCTTTTTCTTTCTTTCTCTCTTCCTTTCTTTCTTTCTAGCAATGGATCCATAAGTCCTTTATCACCCTTTATAGGCCTTAATGGTCAGAATTCTGTTTCTTGTACCAAATTAAAAAATGTGAGTACAGAGCATCACCATTTCTTTAAAAGAACAGGGAATGTATTCAGCCTACTGGAGGTTGGTTTTTTCCCCTTCCTCATGTCCATGTCTGTCTGACAGTCATAGTTTGTGGAGGTTGTGAGTACGAAGGGTTACATGAACATTTAAATTCTTGTGAGTGATTTGTATTTTGTACCTGCTTGTTTCCGCATTTTAAATAAAGTATTTTGCTGCCTAGAAATATTTTAAATCTCAATTTTATTCAGCCCCAATAATACCTGCAGCCTCTGGTATTTTCTCATTTTCAGAAATGAATGGTGGTGGTGTTATTTCTCTTTTCATCAGAAGACTTTTTATGATACATAAAGATTATATTCCAATGATATTTTTTACAGTGTGGTTGTAAGAACAGAAAGCTCCAGAATGTGTTTCACTGGGTCAATATTTAATAGTTACCATGTCATGATTTAATGGCTTCTTTTTTTTTCATACGCCAATAAAATACCTAAAACAACAATCAGGGTTAGAAAAGACATAATACGTGAATATTAGAGGTGAGAGGAAACAGATCATAACCCTTTTAAGGGGGGGAAGATGGAGGAAAGGGACTTTGTGACAGGCGGTGGCATGCTCTTCAGAGGGAAAAAGGAGGCTGTCTTCTTTCCTTCATGCCCATACCACTCTGCTGAATCATTTATTTATAGGGTCAGCTGAATAGGCTTGGGTGTACTCCTAGGGGTCTTTCCTGCCTCTGGCTTTTTTTGCAGCTGTATTAAACTTCTACGTAGCAGAGTCTTACAAAACTAGAAAGAGAATGTAAATGCAAATTTGAATAACCTAGGTAATTAAAGTACTGGTCTTATCAGATGTTAGATTTTTATAGAGAGAACTGGAAGCCCTTAAGTACTAGCAGGTGATAATGGTACAGAATGAGGTTTGGAAGCAAAACCATATTGTGCAGACTGAATTAGAGTTTGCCCTGTTCGCATTCAACAATTCAGGGACAGATAACTATATATTGACACTGCCTCACCTGATAGATGAAGTTTTATGAGGTTGATGAGAGTTGTTTTTGATCCCTACTGATTCCTGTTAAGTTTTGTTTCCTGGCACTCTGTTCTACAGTTAAACACAACCCTAATTGTTCTCTGGATTAACGTTATTATTTTACTTCCCCTATTCAACCTAAACTATTTCTTTCATCTTCCAGGCTTTTGAACACTTACAACAGTTAGAATTAATAAGGCCCATGGAAAGGACTTCGGTAAATACACAGAGAGAGTACCAGCTGATGAAACTACTTTTGGATAATACTCAAATTATGAATGCTTTGCAGAAATACCCCAACTGTCCTACAGATGTTAGGCAGTGGGCAACATCCTCACTCAGCTGGTTATGAATATAACCAGTGGCTTCAGTTATGGAGTTTCAGGCATTCTTCTGTAAGGAACTCAAAGCTATTGTCCTTTAGCAAGATATGTTATTACATTTTCTTATATTTATAAATCTGTATTTTTGTATTTATGGGAGACTGTTATACATGTAGTGTCTTGACTGTGTCTTGCCTTTGAATCATGAGCAGTTACATGATTTATAATTCCAGTGATTTAGATTATGTTGTAAGTAGCAGTGCAAAGAAATAAATGTGACTGTTTTAGGGAGTGAACCATATGCTTATTTAACACTTGTCAAGTATTTATGCGGTATATTTGAAGAGTTCATTTCAACCCAGCAGCCAAGTATTTTTACAAATCCTAAAAGCAGTAAAGAAACAATGGTAAGAGTTGATGTGTACTGAGGAATCTTTTGGTCCACTGGAAGGTGCCGCATTTTCTTTTCTCTATCCATGGAAATTTTGGATTCTACCCCAGACCCAGGTCTTCTAGTTCAGGAGACTGACCAGTTTGGCAGAAGATAGTTCACGTGGAAGAAAAAAGTGAGAAGTTTGAACATGAATTTCTTCCAGGTTTCTCAAAAGGTGGTTATCATCTACAGAAGAATCCCTTGTAGAATTTTTTAAAAGGCAAATTCTTCCCAGTTTCATTAAAGATTTCATGAAATGTTTAAAAAAAAAAAAAAAATTCTTGGGCCTCTCCTAGGCCCCAAAGGATCAGAATTTGTCTTTTTAACGGGGACTTCAGGAAATGCCTGGAAAACCATTCCCACAATTAATGGGAAGTGTTTGGCACTGTTGACTAAATTTATTTGTATCAAAAAGTAAATCCCTAAAGGGAATGTAGAAATGCTAACCTTATAAAATTCAGGAGTCCAAGAACTAATTCCAGGTATCTGTTTAGAATGAAATTTAATAAGCATTTGCCAAGTGTTAGTGACTTCATTTATTCAAGAATATTTGATTGCATATTGTTTTCAAAAGGCAGTCTCCATCCTTGTGTTCATAATCCTTTTAACTATCAAACGCCCTGTGATATTCAGGGACTGTTATTTACAGTTGAGAAAACTAACATCATAGTGGCAGTTTTCAAAATCACACAGGTAGAGAATGATTGACAGACCCTGGAATTCAACTCAGGTTTGACTGACACCAAAGCCCCACTATGAAGAACTAAAATTCATTAACTGGTTCTTGCCACGGATTTTTTAAAGTATGCTCTAAAAAGTGATTTATCTGGTTTTCAAGAAGTATCAGGTATAGATTGGACTATAATATTTCTGTGCGTAAAAAAGTAGCTCTCCAGTTCAACCTATTTTTTTGCAGACGTAGCTGTTCCTTCCCTGCCTTCTAAGTCTTCAGATCACTGTCATTTACTTTTCAGCAGTGTCTTAGTAAAGGTAAGGCTTACATACTGGTTCTATGCAATAGTCTACAGATTTTTAGGGGATATTTTGCCAAAATAGTTAGCATTGGTAGCATCACTGCTACTGGAAGCAAGGATTTTACACTTGAGCTAGGAGTTTTCCCTTTAAGAAAATTTTCTGAACTATTTTAGGGAAGTATTATCTGCCTTAATGGCACTCACTGTGAAAGCATTTAAACGACTTTATTTCAAGACTGCAAATTATTAGCTTAAGATGCCACTACAAGGCTGAAAGCTCTCATGTGCCTTCCTGGTTACGAAGACCTGCAGAAGATCCACCAACACCCAGTATACAGATTAGAAAACTGTAAGTCACAGGGTGGGTTTTCATTTTCAGTGAAACAATTCTTAACGCAAATTGGAAAAAAGGTTAGCAAAACAGGTGAGGAAGAGTGTTAGAGGTTTCAGTGCAGTTTTGACTCACGTGACCCTTCCATGTACCCTATCCAAAACAGGATCTTCTTCAAAACAAAACACACCACCTCCAGTTCATGTGGTGAATGGCTCTGAGGAATTAAAACTTGCTGGTCCAAACGTACCATATCCTAATGCTATGTATGTTGAGTATATACTATGTATTAACTTCCCAAAAAATCAGTTTAGCAGAACATGCTGTGGAAAACAATTTCAGTCTTTCGGTAGCGATTCAGTGCATATTCCATCCTAGTTTGTGTTTTCACTTGGTTTAGAAAGCAGTGCGGGTTGAGAATCCATTGGTGTGAACTATGACACAGTGCTCCTGTGGGGCTTTCCATCCCTTCTTTTGAAAGCCACGCGATAAACAAAAGCCTCGGCAACATTAAAAATGTAAATGAAAGCTAGCTTCCTTGACGATTACTCTTACTGATTACCCTAAGTGAAAATACCAGAGTTCTTCCATTCCGTCAGTAAACTAGTTAATATCCTTGAGGAAGAGTGGCTTGTATATTTGATGACAATTTCCTAAGCCACATTTTTCTGTTGCCATATGAAAAGACAAGGTAACTAATGCCTGCTAGCCTCTGGTTTCCTAAAACTGGCAGGACTAATATACATACCTTGCAGGGAATACAATCTGCTTAGACGGTAAAGGGGGGAAACGCCACCCTTGACAAACTTCCTTTTCACCACTATCCCCATTCTTGCCTATCTCAAGGTGTGAGCCTCGCCATAGATGGCAAAGCTGCTGTTCCCCTTTTTAAGAAAAATGTATAGCTAAAGAAAAACTGCGTAAGCAAATCATACCATATTCATTTTTTTTATTTAACTCGGGGATGGAATGGGGATAGCATACATTTTATTGTACAATATTTAACAATCACTTATCCAAGGTGGGGTTTTATGGGGCTTTTTTTTTTTTTAACTTTTTGTTAAATACTTGCAGAAAAAAATAGCAAGTACAATTTGACAGTAGTACAACAACCTGTGCCCAAAACACTGACAAGAAATACAGAGTAAAGCTAAAATAATTGCTTACCAATATTTTGAGAGGTAACAAATAGGATATGGATTGAGACTGCATAAAAAATGTACTGCTGGTTGAATATCTGAGGTAAATGATGTTCAATCAAGATGCTACTTGTATCATTTTGCCCATAAATCAGTAAATAATTTTATGCACATTATACCAAATGTTTCTAAAAAGTAATTTTTTAAAAAGGTAAAAAAGAGAAACTGGAAAATATTTGTGGAGAAGCATTTTTTTTTTTTTAATAGTTAAGTTTAATTCCACTTAAACTTATCATCATCTGGCCAGGGTTTTTTTTCCCCTACCCGCCTGCATTTTACTTAAATGTAGCTGTTACTTAGGATTGAGGAAAGGAGGAAGAAGAGGTTCTTTTTCAATTTCATGATAGATGATTCTATTTTTAAATTCCAAACTTCTTGGGGTTTTTTCCTGATTGCATTTTCAAAACATCACCATGAAAGGTAGTGCAAATTCATGGGACCAACAATTTTGAGGCACAGTCTCTGTTCTGGAATTCACAAGGTACCTGGAATAAACATTCAAACAAGAGTCACACTTCACATGCTAAAAACGTCCTAGCATCTAAGATACATACAAGAGCTGTGCAGGGCATAGACTTTGAATAAAGCCAAACACTGGTTAATCCATCAGTCCTATGGCAGTTGATCATAAAGCATTCCTTACATGGAGATTTGGGCAAGGTAAAGAGTGGAAGTTAGAGCAGCAGTTCTGATGGGTATCAGAAAGGCAAAATACAAGACGAATCGTAAGGAGCACCATACACATGAGGAAAAAATTATTGGGGTCTCAGTTCACCCCAAAACAAAGAAGTCATTGTTTTTCTCATTCTTTGATCTTTCTTTTTTTCAGTATCCCAGCTCAAACTTTTTGTAAGCTTGCCCACTCTGCGCTGACTGTAAACCAAACCTGAAAATGCCCTGCAAATGAAAAGCTTTAACAAGACTAGGTATCAGGACAGGTAGTCACTGGAACATTCTTATTTTACTGCTTATAAAAAGTGTTTTTCTATTAATATAGTTTTCAAAAGGATACAAGTCTTAAAGTTGGTTAGCTAGAGTTAAGTACAATACCCAGGATTTCTAAAAATTTTTTCTAACATGAAGAGAAAACTATCTTTTGAATAACCGATCTTATAAAATTTATCACTAGTGCTCACAGAAGCCAAACATTCATCATAATATTCCTTGTTTTTGTTTTGATTTGATTTTTTCTTACTTTTAAAATTAAATGTTTAGAACAGGTAGAACTTAGTCTTCAGGAGATGGACAATTTCTATGTGTGAACATTGTCACTTTCCCATCTTGATTAGTTTCAAAGTGGAAGTTAAACCAAATCAGTTGAGATGTCAAGTACTTTTTGAAATAAAGAGGTGAACTCAACATTGAAAAGGGAATTCTTTAGGAATACAATGAAAACTTGGGTACATATGTGACCCAAGAGCACAAAGTTCTGCATGGTGTGTGGCACGCAGACAACAATGCTATTACTCTTCTTTCCCTCCCTGCTTTAGAGTCTGTTGACCTATGCATTATTTATAAATAATATAATTTATTATTCCCAGAGATTAAGTGCACATTATATGTAAAATGTAGTGTACTGTGTGGTTAAATAGCCATATGAAGGTAATACATTCACAGTGAGCTCCTGATAGTGACATGTAAAAAATTCTTTTATAAAATCAATGTATGGATTGTAAAATGACCTGACGAAAGTACGTAGCATAATACTGGCTATTTGTTGGTCAGTAATTTAGAAATTCAGGAAATTACTGTTTTACTTTGGCCTCTATAAATTTGAGGAACAATCCAATTATATTCTAATCCAGTATTGTTTTGAAAAGCACTTTGGCACCTACCTACCATCAATTCCATTTTCTTATCAAGGATAAGGCATCAATCAACTATCCTAAAAGTCATAGTGTGAAAGCAATTTGCAGGAGGAGGCGAGGCTCTATTACCTATATCAACATCGGTTACCTCTAAATGTCATTGCATATTTTAAGTTTATAAGTATAACTTGTTATCCCTGATTTGTTTTAAAGCAGTAACATTTGAAATCTGTGCTTAAACTTTAAAACCTCTATCCTAGGATAATTCTTTACATATCACAGACATCAAAGTATTACTCCGACAAGATGGCACCAAGCAGAAATATAGTGATAAAGTTACAAGTCTCAAAGCAGAGAGTGAGGAATTCTGGGTAATGACACTTCCTGAGGTGATCCTTAAACAGTGATAAAGAATGTCCCACACACTGTTCGGTGAAAAGAAATACACTACAATTTTACATACATAAATAGGAAAAAAATCTATTTTAAAAGAATAAAAATGAAGAGCTTTCCAGTGTCACAGCTCACTTTAAAAAATTTAAATCATGCTTTAAATTTTCAAATATTCCCCAAACACAGCACACCTAAAAAAATACTTAGGTAAATATGCAAGAATTTGGGAACTGGATAGAAGGTGAAGCTTTAAAACACGGGAAAAAGGGGGAAATGACATCATTTTTTCATTTCAAAAAACACTTTTTTCCCTTAAATTACAAGCTAGCACAAGAAAAGCTAAAACACTGCTTAATGAATGGCCACTTAGTGTTGGCACCGACCACAGCTTACCCTTTTTTCTTAAATAACACCGTGAATTTGTAATACCTTGTTGCAAAACATGGATCGATTTATTATTCCAATTGTGTTAGTGTTCTCAGTTTTACAATTTAGCAACCGTGGAGCTGAGGTATACCTTGTTGAGGGAGGTTAAAGTAATGCTTGGAAGCCTCTCTCCTGCACCCCCCTCTGATGCCTCTGCTTATGCACACGGAACAGCAGCACACCAAGCATTCACAGGCCGCGTCGTGCTGCCATTGCGACAGTCGTTCGCACAAACACAACCGCAAGCGCAACGCAAACAGGTTACCCTTTTTCAAATCTGAAATGAAAAGTTTTTGATCTGGAAAAGAAAGCAGTAGTTCATTTAAGGAGTTAGTGTCTTCTGACAGACATTACGAAATGCGATGTCAGTGTTCAAACGCTTGATTAGCCAGGGCCAAGAGATCCTTGATTCGGAGAGGGCTGCGTTCTTCATGTACACTTTTTCAAAAGGTTCTTTACAGAGTCTGCAACTTCTCTTAGTCTCATGTCCTTCACGTCTCTGCTGCAGGCAATGCTGTAAGTCTCCCAGGGCCACAGTCTTCTTCCTGACATGTCCAGGAGACCTCCTACTCATTTCTCACAGAAAATAAACTGTGAGCAGTTTCATCGGCTTAGCAGCTCCACTTCAGAGTCCTGTTTCTCACTGTGGACACACGGTGCAACCATCATAGACTAGATTCTTTGGGAGGAAAGTCAACATTTGTCACCATCGTGACCACTGTTACAATGTCCTCTGTGGTAATGATATTTGTTAGTCTTTGCATCTGAGTGATTCTTTCACCGACACATCCAGCTGATAACCTGGCTTCTGCATCGTGATCCCAACATTCTTCTATCGTTTCACAGAGCATTGCCATTCCCTAAAAATGAAAAACATATTCAAACATTGTAGCAGATTTTGTTTTCTATTAGGAAACGATAAAATGTCCATAAAGAAATTATTTTTGTGAGTCAAAGTTTCAAGATTAGCCAAGTTTGTTATGTGTCAACATTCACTTATGAGTATCTCTTGTATGCAGGAAATGGACGAAAAGCACTAAGAAAAATCAAACTTCTTATAGCATCCGAGACTATCACAGGAGGTAAATTAGGTTTTTTTAATTCCAAAAATCCCTAGCCATTGCATATAAACCAGGTCAGTTCAATGCTAACCCCTGATCTAGACTCAAAACCAGGGCTAGTTTTCTTAGTTAATACCGGCATTTCTGTCTTGCAGTTAAATAGAAAAAAAGGTTAGAAAAGCATCCTTGAGATTCTCTACCTGGTTTTTAATCCATGTTTCCAGTTATATTGGGACCACAATAACCAGGGCAATAGTGTTCCATTCTTCACCTACCTAAGTCTCTAGTTTTAGAGCATTCTTAAGGACCTGAACAAAGTCCAGTCCCAAATCAAAAACAGAGAGAGCAGAAACTGCTTTATTTTAAAAATACCATCTTAAGGGAAGCCGGTGATCATCAAGGTTACCCACCTTTCCACATGCTCAGAGTCAGGTACTCCTTTCCCTGGGAAGCTCTCCAAACAAGAGACAAACACAGGACCATAGCAATGCAAGCCCCTTAGGTTTAATGACTTCATCTTCCCTCATAGCCCTAAAATTCTGTAGTTTGTAGACTTTTGACAATATCCCGTATGAAGATAACCTCCCCAGAAAATCGTCCCAGAAGTGTGCAGAGATAGAAATCATTCCTCTGAAAAGCATTTTATTGGAATTTCAAATGAAAAGCTAACTTACAGCATGTTTCTGCCAATAATCTCTTAAAACAGGCCTCTTTTTTTTATGCACCACAACTTCCTGCATGTCTTCAAGAGATGGATGCTGGCCAATTTCCTCCTCAAATGGCAACATGTATTCATCTACAGGTCCTAAAATGAAAAAAAAAAAAAATTTTTTTTAATTCAAATCTTCCTGACTTCCAAACTGGAACAACCTTTCTGAAACATACTCTGTATCACCTTTTCCCAACTGTTAAATGCTATAATGACAGGAGATAAAAAGATTCTCAACTACTTCTACCACATTATGACCCAAATGCTAGTTTAGGAGAAATCAAAAACTGTACAATTTGGCATAAGCCTGCTAAATTTGCATAAGGAGCTTTCTCATCTACTGTATGAGGAATATGCCTATCTCCATACACAGATAGGACCACAGGGAACCAACAATATTTGCAAATCGAGGCTATAATATCCCTTTAAGTACTTCTCACAATTCAAATCAGACCGTAAACAGTGGTGCTTCCATCTGACAATTTGGGGGTCAGTCTCTTATAACCATCTTTATTCTGTGACACATCCTAACCCCCTACACGTTCTGCATGAGGAATTAGGTACCTCAGAGTCGCACGCCCTCCTCACAAAAGCTGCCAAAAATCGTTTTTAAAAAAAATCACCAGCATACTCCAAATAGGGTTCCCAACTAGCCTTCAGAATGTGCCTTCACAGACAAAATGTATTCAACAAAATAAATTGTTCCTTTTTTCTTAGGCATACTCAAATAGGATAATGTAGTTACAAGCTAATACTAATATTTAATAAGCACTTACCCTGACTAGGAACTTCCTATGTTATTTCCTTCCGTTTTACACCTCCACAGAGTGAAGGTGACATTACCTCTATCTTACAGATAGGAAAGCAGCTCAGAAAAGTTCCATAATTTGCACAAGGGCATACAGCTGTTAGGTGGTAGAGTGGAACTTGAATCCATCTCTGCCACTGACGTCTGTGCTTTCAATCACTGTGCTGTCTCCCCTTGACAGAAACCGTTCAGTTCACTAAAGAGCAATTGCATGTAAAGGGTCTGTATATGGACCTAAACCTTGTACAGATACTCCTACTCCTGGATAGGACGTAAGTTATAAACAATGAATCATAAAGGAGGACATCTAACTCCAGCCTCTCCAAATGGAAGAATCCTTGATGCCTGGATAGTCCGTCTCCGCTTAAGCACTTCCAGTGACTCAAGAGTACTGACATTCTAAAATGTCTGTTTAACTCTTGCTATTCAAAATATGGTCCGCAGCTCAGCAGCACTGGCACTGACTTGTAGCCTGCAAGAAATAGAAGCATCAGGCCCCAACCCAGACCTACTGAGTCAACGGGAACTTGATTAGGAGTTTAGTACACATCAAAGTCTGAGAGTCACTGAACTGAACCATCAACAATTAGCCATCAACCAATTTTAAAGTACTCACTTGAGCAATGTTCACACTGTCCCCTCCTGCCCCAATTTCTGACTTAAGGGTCAGAAATCCCTGACTCTGCAATTACTTCATAGCACATGCAAAGCATTTTAGAAATATCAGCACCGGGTCTCCTGGGTGGCTCGGCTGTTAAGCATCTGCCTTCGGCTCAGGTCATGATCCCAGGGTCCTGGGATCGAGCCCCGTATCGGGCTCCCTGCTCGGCGGGAAGCCTGCTTCTCCCTCTCCCACTCCCCCTGCTTGTGTTCCTGCTTTCGCTCTCTGTCAAATAAATAAATAAAATCTTTAAAAAAAAGCGGGGGGCGCCTGGGTGGCTCAGTCGGTTAAGCGACTGCCTTCGGCTCAGGTCAGGATCCCAGGGTCCTGGGATTGAGCCCCACATCGGGCTCCCCGCTCCGCGGGAAGCCTGCTTCTCCCTCTCCCACTCCCACTCCCCCTGCTTGTGTTCCCTCTCTCGCTGTGTTTTTCTCTCTCAAATAAATAAATAAAATCTTTAAAATATATATATATATATCTGTCCTCATTTTTCATAAAATCTTCCCTGATAACCGTTCTACCCCAAAACAAAGCATTTTTCACTCCTCTAAACTCCCATTAACACTCTCTTAACATTCCTCAGGTATTACATTCGTCCAAAATAACTTACTGAATATCTATGTACTGAGCACGAAGCTAGGCAATTCACACTTACTCTAGAGTCAATTGTCCAGGATATATTTTATCCCCTTATTTAAACTATACATTGCTTAAGGGCAGGGCCTTGTATATCCCCTACACCACCATATCCAATGGTTGGCTTTGGAGAGTTCATATTATTAAAGTTCTTATAAAATACATTTTCCTATAACATCTGCCATCCAACCTATTTCTGCTTCCATAAATGCACATAATAAATGTACTTCCTCTTCCACTTTGAGCCAAACTACACTGAACAGCTTACTCTTCCTCTAGACTTCTAAGCGAGAATTATATCCAAACTGCTTCAAACTTTCTTAGGTCTGGATCCACCCCCATGCCAAACCCCCAATCTTAGAAGAATGAATGGCTATCCATTCCTGAGCACTCTACCAAGTTCCCTTTAAAAGCACGGTACCCCAAATCAAATTTCATATACCAGAGGTAGTCTGTCCTACACTGAGAGACCATTACAGTACTCAGAAAACATAGTATTCTCATGAATATACGTTAAGTTGGTCTAAATACTCTGCACAACTTTCTTCTATGGTCTTTTCACAATCTGTAGAAAGTTTTTACGTAATTATAAATTAAAAGAAAACGATCAAGCTAATTGACATTTGTCAAGATGTCTGCTTTATATTTTCACGTCCAAAAAAAAGTACTGTAACACAAGTGAAGAGAATGGAGAACTTCTGAGAAGCACTAAAGATAGTATCTAGCACACTATAATTTTGTCACGCCAGGAAAATAGTATGCAAGCTTATTATCAATCGATCAGTGCAAATATTTATAGGACTTGAACAAGGACTTACATAACAAAAACAGTAATTCTTTAGAACCAAGGTGTGCAAGAGAATATAACTAGTGTTCATAATAACGTCTACATCAGCTCAGACTTTCAAGGCCGTAAGGAGACAGAATTTAACCTGTGGTATATCCAAAGGCATGCTCAATTTTGTGCCCTGGAGGATGGACTGTAAATTCAATCTGGTTAAGTGTATACTGACATCATGGGAGTGATGAATAGATTCAGCCTTGAGTGTCCTGAAGGGAAAATCCCCCAACTCTTCCTTTATCTTCTCTTGCCAAAAGAGTTGACTTTGCCACCTGGGGGCAGGCAGGACCTGCAGGACCTACCAAAGTGGCAGCCCTATCCCTACATTTGGATCAGAGTTTCAAATCTAGGTTTCACCATTTACCACCTTGAAGCTAAAACTGGCAATCTGCTTAATTTCTACTTAAAATTTGAGCCTCAAATTGCTCATGTATAAAACTAAGATAGTAACTACCTCCAAAGGAGTTTTAGGAAATTAGCTAAAGGTATGTGAAGGGCCTAGTGCAAGATACATGGCAATGGTAAAGGATCAATACATGCCCATACCTTCCCTCTCCAGCCTGCCCCCATCCCCTGCCTCCTGAATTCCGTTTAAGCCACTACCTCTTGGAGTCTACTTAAAAAAAGTTTTTTGTACTTTGAAATATTACCTTTTGAGTATAATCATCCCTTTTCATATATGTGTAGTAGACAATAGGCATATCTTTAAAAAAATATATTTTTTTTTTCCCTTACCATCTGCGGCAGTACAGCGAGAAGCCAGTTCCCACAGGACTAATCCCATGGCGTACATATCTATCCTCAAAAATGCATCCCTTTGGAAGTTTATAGCACCCTCTAATACCTCTGGAGCCATATACCTCCGGGTACCAACCTGAAAAAGATGTTGAAAGCAAACAGTACTCATTCATTAACTTTATGAACTAACATTTTATGGTTTTGTAAAAAGAATCAAAACCAAATGTGGTCTGCTATCGTATCAGGTAAGGTAACCAAATTATGACCACCGGACTACAGAGTCAAGGAGCACTGTATTCCATTTCAAGTCATAACAGCCAAGACACTAGAAATGGGAAGTTTCCATCAGCAGGGATTTCTTAAACAGAGTACTATGCAGCTCTGAAAAAACATGAAATGAATCTGGACTGATAACAGAAAAGTTTCCAAAAACACTGTACAGCAAGGAACAAAGCAGTATATATACTGAGATCCTTTCTGGATACACTTAATAAATATATCAGCAAACATTATGCTGGCGCTGGCTTAGAATTTTTTCCCCCTTCTGGAAGTTATCACAAAAACAATGGTGGTTCTGTTGGAGACAAGGACAAGAAAACTATACTTCTCAATTGTACCTTTGCATCCTGTTTGAAATGTGTATCTTAAAAAAAAAAAAGAATACTCATTTTTGAGGGTTTCTCTTTCTTTATTAACAAAAAGTAGTAATATAAAACTTAAAAAGAATTAGCCAAGTAAAGAATGGATAAACTTTTAAAAGTTCTATTTCTACAACATGTACATATTTATTCATTCATGAATTCTGCCTTGGAATTCTTTATATCTGTCCCTAACAATTTGGTATTTCTTAGTATTGGAACTATGGTTACTAAGCTACTATAGCTAGCCTTGGTTGGTGCTTGACAATATTCACATATGAATGCTTAAAAAATTCTTACAGGATAGCTGGGTGGATCACACTCTAATTGAGTTTTTGGAGATCTAGGGCATGGCCAGATAATGGTATTCCAAAAAGCTCTATCCTCAGGTGACTGATCTCTAGATTACAACTTAGACAATTATCTGTGAACGCACATACAATAGAAATGTCTAAAAAAGGGAATAGATCACTAAGACTCCAAAGCTCAAGTTTTTAATTCATTTAATAACAACACTTTAAAGAAAGAAAAAAACAGTAGCTCTGCTTTTTTTGCATCTTTAACTGTACTATAAGCAAGCATTTCTCAAAAGTTTACTTTTCTCCTAAAGATAAATGTATTAAGGAAGGCATATGTGGTGATGACCACTGGGTGTTATATGCAACTAATGAATCGTTGAACACAACAAAAACTAATGATGTATTATTATGTGTTAGCTAATTGAATATAAGAAAAAAAAGTTCTTAGCAGGGAAAAAAAAAAAAAAAATGCCATCCAAAGTACTTTTCTTATAAAGTGACAACTACCTTCTTAGTGTAAAATGTCCTCTCTTTTGTAAATTAATAAGATAAAAATCTTATTTTTATATATGTAAAATGTACAATAACATGAATTTTGAAATTTTCTGGTCCAAGAAGTCTAAAGTCAAGTAACCAGTGATGTAATAAGTAATTATTTTTACCTCCTCATGTAAACCAATTGAGAGGACAGTAAAAGATAGGAATAAGTCTCAAATTTTTTTCTTAAGAAAAGGGGGGAAGAGGGTTATGAAGTGCCAGAGGATTAAATGGTTCCCCACATTTAGTTTTATGATAATCACACAAGTCAGCTCCCTGGGCCTCCTGCACAATCTCCCTCCTCCGCAATATACTCCATAGGACTGCCTTCATTCCCAAACACATGTGGTATCAACTCTTCTAGAACTCTGACTGCTGACCATTGCTGTAAACTAAATTCTTGTATCATCAGTCAGTATTGCCAAAATTTGTTATGCTGTGATTCTTTAATAACTATTCTTGGAGGTCAATAGGATATACTGGGAAAAATGAAAGCTGACAATTAGATAACCAAGTAATTTCCATGATTTGAAAGATGAAGAAATAATCATGCCAACTTTGTAAGGAAATGTCACCTTTCAGGTCAAACTGGTTTTCTTAATAAAAAGGTGATCCTGTAGGCGTGAAAGCACCTTTCCTCGCCTCACAGTTTCTGAGAATAAAATATATGGATAATTTTTTTTAAAAGATTCCCATTGTTCAGAGCTCTTTGTACAAATCTTAACTAGAGAGAGTTAATTAGGCTCTTTGCTCAGGGCTTTGCAAGTGCTCTGAACTCTGGAGAGAATTCAAAGAAAAGCTGTAAAATTGGCTAAAGAGTTAATGAAGCACTAAAGACCAAGAAGCAAGAAACTGTAATTGTTGTGTGGAAAAATCAGGCAATAGATATTAATACATAGTAGCATGAACAGTAACTGATTGTTCTGCCATTCCTCTTAGGATGATGAAAGAATTAACAAATTAAAACTACTGTGTTATTACTAAGAACTCCCTAAGAATGAGGTCTACTTAAGTGTGCTGGAGTCTAACTTGATTAGTTTTAAAAATAGAATCCCATGACATGTGTCTAAGTTGTTTTATGAATTGATTGATCTAATCCACTTGAGTTCCTAACAGTCCTTCACCACATGAAAATGTCTTCCTCAGTAAATTTAACATATTAAGAGAGTCATTTTATATTAGATGCTGACTTAATAACCATCACGGTAATTTTAGATCAATTCAATCTAGATGTGCCATTCTAAGAAAATACAGGACAAGATTATTTTTTCTTACAGTTTATAGTTACCATCCTTACCTGTCCATGGGTATCACCTGCAGACTTGCCAGCCTCGAATTTCAATGCCAACCCGAAGTCAGCAATGCAAGCGGTCAGATTGTTTTTCAACAGCACATTTTTACTCTTGATGTCCCTTGCAAATAGAAAGATAAAGTATTCAAATTAATTTTAAACAAGTTATCTTTTAAAATTTTTCATTGAAAGTGGGAAAGAAGGAGACTAAACTACAGAAGTATGACAAACAGGAAAAAGGAGGGAGAAAAAGCTTGAAGCACAAGAGCAGAGTAACAAACTCCTGTTCATAACATGGACAATAAGAAGGAACTCTGTCCATAAAGCAGTTTTATTAAAGAGCTGCTATTCCAAAACTATTGTCTAGCCTACATGTTATCTATGTTATTCCTACCTACCGATCATAAAATTGCTGGGTTTTTGAGGTAAAATGAATATTTCAGAGTTTATAGTTGGAAACACCCATTGCAACTGAAATTTTAAGAAACCAAACTGAGGACATTAGGAGAAGGAAGGGAAAAATGAAGGGGGCGGGGAATCGGAGGGAGAGATGAACCATGAGAGACTGTGGACTCTGAGAAACAAACTGAGGGTTCTAGAGGGGAGGGGGGTGGGGGGGTGGGTTAGCCCGGTGATGGGTATTAAGGAGGGCACGTACTGCATGGAGCACTGGGTGTTATACGAAAACAGCGGATCGTGGATCACTACATCCAAAACTAAAAAAAAAAAAGAAACCAAACTGAAAGAATATTCAAATAATTGGGGCCTTTGGCCTACTGGTACACGCCTACATATTAGAATGGACCCTTATTTTAGTGGTTCTTCGATTCATCAGCCTTGTAGAAAAGCATCTCTAGGAATGTATACCAGAAAATCTTCACCATAAACAAACTGCTCCAGCTAGATCCTGGTGTTCTGAAAAGAGTAACCCTTTTAAAGCAATCAGATAACTTCTTTCACACACTAGCTTCAACTGATTCATCCTAGAGATTACTATACTCTAGTTACATACATCTATGCCATGAGCAGTGGTTAAATTTATGTGCACAGACACAGAGACCAAGAGTGGGACAGAGGAGACACAGGTAGTCACCCACAAATGCTCCAAAACCAATCAATTTTAGCCTCAAAAGATTTTTAGGAATCCTACTCCTAATAACCTTTGGGGGTGCCAAAGGATTAGTTCCCTATAGGACCAGGTGAGACGAGCAAAAATCCAGGAAGAAACAGACTGTATGCAGGAAAGTGAGAAAAAAGGGGAGCTATTTCTGAGGTAGAAATCATTCAAGGTTTGCAAAATCAATCTATTTTATTAGAGTTGGATTAAAAGTAATGCCTCCAAGCAACCTAAAACACCAACTGGTGGCACTCAATTATCCGCTAAAGGAATTGGTTCACACCAACTTTTAAAGCAACCATGTTTTTTTAATTAAGTGTATAATGGACACACAATGTTACATTAGTTTCAAGTGTACAACATTGTGATTCAACAAGTCTATATATCATGCTATGCTCACTCAAGTGTAGTTACTATCTGTTACCATACAATACCATTGATTATATTCCCTAATGTTGTACCTTTTATCCCCATGACTTACTTATTCCATAAATGGAATCTTGTATCCTACTCCTCTTCACCCATTTTGTCCATACTCCCATTCCCACCCCCACCCTCTCCTCTGCCAACCATCAGTTTGTTCTCTGTATTTACAGGTCTGTTTCTAAAGCAACTATCTTTAAATTGAATACACAATGGCAAACTGATCCCATGTTTAAAGGAACTAACATTTTCCCTTTTGAGGGTATGACAACTACTGGCTTCAAGCCCATTTATTCAAATGATGCCTCCCTCCACCTCAGCTCAGGTAATGATCACATGGTCATTACAAACAAGAAAAAAAGATACTCAGTCTCTCCTTAATTACATCTTATTATATCACTGAAGTAAATCATGTTTTAAAGCAAAACAAATTTCTTTTTCCTTTGAGATAGACAAAATACACTTTCACTCTTAACCATACTTTCAGGAATAAGATAAATTAAAACACAGGTCAGTAATTAAACTTTGCTAATGATACTAAATATATACATTACCCAAAATACTTCCTGGCCATTCTCAAAGCTAATTTGAAAATCAATACATAGTATTGTATGCCTCCTCTAGCATGATTAGGTAGTTAGGGGGAAAACAAATTTTGTACAGTAGATTAAAAGTTTAAATAATAAATACTGAATTATTTGGGAAAATAATATAAATTTAGCTCTACCTGTGAGATATGGCAGGTTTATGGCCATCTTTTAGGCCAGGTATATCCTCATGCAAATATGCCAATCCTCTAGCCATGGTTTCTGCAATATGACACAATTCATTCCAAGAGACCACATTAGCCTTAAGAAAGTCTGACAGTGAACCCTAAAGAAAAGGGGGGAAAAAAACAACTTATGCTCTGGACAAAAGCCATTTGACATGGAGAACTTTCCTTTTTACTTTTAAGAGATTATGGAAGGCAATGTATCTTTACTTTTAGTGAATAATAATATCCAAAAAAACAAAAACAAAAACAATCTTTCTGGAAGGGTTCAAGTTTCACACTAGTAAACATTTGACTAGAATGGAATACGTCTAATCTTTAAAGTTTTGCTACAAGGCACAGTCAATTTCCTCCTATTTTGAAGGCAGAAGTTAAAAACAAACAAAAATACTATTTGAAAATCTAGAGTTCAGGAAAATATTTAAAAAGTTAAAATACACTGACTACAAGGATGTTAGTTATATCATAGGACTAGGAAAACATAAAATTAAGACATATAAGCAACTATGTCAGAATCTTCCTCTAGAGATTACCACTATCCTTCTGGTCAAGAATTTAGAGACGTTTAAGAGCCACCTAGATCTGACAATGATGAAACTAATTGCCAAGTCAACACAATTTCCTATTTCATTAACATGTACTTTCATACTAACTATGAAAGTAGAAAAACTGAGGGGAAAACAGCAACTGCGTTTTGGTGATAATTACAAATTAGTGACAGATCAAAGATCAGATAAATCTCCTGGCTCTAGTTTTGTCACTAGGCTACACAAAATTCAAGCTAAAAAATGGTCCACATAATCAAGATGGATCATGAATGGTAAATGAAAATGACTAAGCACCGGCTACAATGAAATAATTATTTGTAAGAGAGGTAACTGCAGCACAAGAAATAAGGGACAAAAGACTGGTTTTATATAAGTAGAGGGTTAGGTGAAAAAGTTGCCATCTTTGCTCTTTTATTAAAATAAGTTAGTTTTTAAAGGATTTTTATTTATAAATATTAACCAACTATAACAACATACTGTTCCCAGAAAAACAAGTCTGAGGGATTTGTAGCCAACATTAAGGAGGTAAACTTTCCTGAGTTAAAACGGAAAGTAGTTTTACCTTTTCATGAAATGCTGTGATTAGCCAAAGATCCACATCAACACTGGTGCCTCGTTTTTCTGCACCAATGAACTGTAATATGTTCTCATGCTTCATTCCAGGTAAACTATAAACTTCATATTCATTTTGCCATGATTGTTTGTCCTAGAGTTAAAAAGAACAGTAAGAGTGCAAAGAACACAGGCAAATAAGCTGTATCTAAGAGATTACTCAAGTAGACTGTAAGGCAAAATTTAAAAATAAAGCTTAGTATGAAAAGATTCTTTGATTTTGTCTTATTTTTTCCGAAAAGAAATCTAAGAATAAGGTAACAACTCTATGACAAATGCCTGCCCTGCCCCACTCCCTGAAACATACTTTTCTGTGTTTCTAGTTTGTAAATACAGGAGTTATCATCAGAAATGGTGCACATCTGTATCTAACAATGGCAACACATTCTGCTGACAATTTCATAATACAGTGTCATTTCATCATGGTGTGAAGTTACTTGTGTTTATTCAGAATAATCTCCCTGAAGTACGAATTTCAGGTAGAATGACTTCATCTCAATAGAAAACAATTTTTTTGTTCAAAGATTAACATTATATCAAACGTTTTTAAAATGTTGAGAATACCCTGCAAAGTCAATGAGAGCACAATAGGGTATAAATAGGCAATACAATAATTTAAAACACTATATACTCACTTGTGACTGCAAGCAACCCATGCCTACTCCTTGCCTACATGTCTGCTTATAAAGAATTAGTTTCTCTTCACAGTGGAAGAATAATGAAAGTCGGAGGCACCATAGCGTAATGGTTAGGAACCCTCTGGATCCAAACTATCTTAAGAACCTTTGCCAAGTGACAATCATTCGGTTTCCTCATTAGCAAATGGGGACCACAGTGTCTGCCCCATAGGGTTGTTGTATTATGTATATGTGTGTTGTTTTCTATATATGGGTAATATATGGACACCTATTACTGAGTACTCCTATATAAAGCACCTCTTCCTGACAGTAAGAAGCATTCAATAAAATATTAGCTACTGTTACTCTTGCTATTGTTACCCTTGTGTTAATATCCAAAGGCCTTTCTCTAACTTTTAAGCTTCTTCCCACAATGAAAGAACAACCCTGAATTTGTCAATCTTAGCAGAACAGACTAGACTCTTCCATTAAGAACTATAGTTTTAAAGTATCTGCACTGCTACCACAAAAGGCTTTAGAGGAGGCAACAAAGATAAAAGCTAGGTATATTAAGACAAAAGAAAAAACGGATTCTGTAACTCTGGAATGAGGACGATCCACTGTGCAGATACAGTGGCGGAGCCTGAATCACCAAACCCAACCCGGACCAGAGCAGCACACGAGGCATTAGCTAGAGGGGTGTGAAGCAAGAGACAGGGATGAAGAAAACAGCATAGATCTATACCACCAGTGGACTCCAACAAAACATAAGAACAGCTCAGAGGTGCATTAGACCCAGGGTTCTATGAGGTCAGCTCCCTTTAAAAGAGAAACAAGTCAACAGTAAACCAATTATTTGAAATCTTGATTCGCTGCCTCTGAAAATTCACCAAACAAAATCTGAAATGATTACATGGGCACTCAAAGTAAGACAAAAATGAATCAGTCTGGTAATATACCTCTAAACAAGTCTAAAACCAGTATGCGCTATTCCTTCATTCTTCTCTTTGTTTTCTGATAATGTCAATGGGATATTAAAAGGGAACCAACGAAATTCTATGACTGGAATCCTCCACTAATACTACATTTCTGTAGTCTCTTTATTGGCAAAAGATCTCCTTTATGTTCATTCACTGGAATTCCACCCCTCCGAACAGACAGAAGGACTGCTGTACCATGAGTCCCACTCCTCAGATGAGAAGGCAGACAAAGGGACTAATCGCTTTCCTCAGTATCACGAAGAACCACCCAGAAACGTGGTTTGTGTTTTCGGACTATTTCTGAATTACAATAATCGAGCCAGTTGCACCTTTTACAAAATATACGCAGATGAGAAAGACGCAGTAACACACCTGTATTGGAAATATTTTCACAGCCACGTACTCATTGAGCAGCTGGGCTTTCCACACACAGCCAAATCTTCCCCTTGCTTTCACTTCTAGTAACTGCAGTGGCTTCAAACCTAGTAACGGAGAAGGTGGGGGTGGTCCTGGGTCCTAGAGATAGACAATAACAGTAGTTATCAGAAAGCAGCACATGATACAGATCAATGCTAAATATGAGGGGAAAAAAGTGAGTATACTGAGGAATCAACTGACAGAAACAGGAAACACATACAAATGACACTAACGTCAATCTTACTAAAACTGAGTTCTCAAGCATTACTAGTTATTTACAGTGATCGTAAGGCAGTAAGGCAAGCCACTTGAATTGAGAATTTTTGTAATGATATTCGGCACTATTGCTATATAAGGACAGCAGTAGAAATGACCTCAAATCATTTTGAGTCCGTCTCACTAATTTTCTGGACTAAGATCTTCTGTAACCTTTAGGGTATTATTAACAGTATTTCAACAGTTTCATCACGTTGGTACTTCATTAGAAGATGAGGATTTTAAAAGTGCCAGCAACAGCAAATTACAGCTATTTCTCAAAGGAAGACAATCCTCAAAATCCACTACTTTCTCCAATGACTGTTTATCTTTAAATCTTTTCTTCATTAATCTCAGAAATGCACAGTCATTCTCAAATGCATTGCAGATTAAGTGTATAAAATACAAAGCACATAAATATGTTAATAGCCAAACTTTTCTGTTCATTCTAATTTTTCAACCTACTAACAATCCCTTTGCTTATAATTACCTCCCCAAATTGACCTGAGATAAAAATTATTAGTCTGATTGGCAAAGAAAGCAGAAATTATAATCCAGAAAATGAGTGTTCATCGTAATAGATGGCAAGATAAATGAAAGAAAAGTGTACTGCTATAGTTAATTTTGAAAATGGAGCAAATATAGTCTATAAATAGGGGTACAACATTTACAAAACACAAGAGCATCCTTCCTATACAAAGCAGAATGGCAACCCTCACTGGAAGCATTGTTATCATTTCAGTATCTGCAACTAAAACAAGATGTAGGAAGCCTTTTGAAAAGCTTCCAGAGAAAAGTAATAAAAATGTATGAAGGGCTGCATAATGAGTATTACAAAGAACTAAAATTTCTGTGGCAACAGCAACAGACACTGTGACACTGGGTGGCATCTAAGTCGCTTGGAAATAGTATGTCCTCCTGTATCACGGCATCTCTCTCTTCCTTTCCTCCCCTTTTTTTTTTAAAGATTTTATTTATTTATTTGTCAGAGAGAGACAGAGCACAAGCAGGGAGAGTGGCAGGCAGAGGAAGAAGCAGGCTCCCCGATGGGCAGGGAGCCCGATGTGGGACTCGATCCCAGGACCCTGGGATCATGACCTGAGCCGAAGGCAGCCGCTTAACCGACTGAACCACCCAGGCACCCCCTTTCCTCCCCTTTTAAGAAAAAATCCCCTCTTCTAATGCCCCAAGACTGTCAGTGCTCCCTTTGGGTGCTGTTCAGCCCACTGGTGTCACTCAAGATTTTATACAGTTGACACCTGCATTAGAAAGACCCTCAAAAATAGAAATACTGCAAGGTATTGAAGAGGACAAAGGTGCAATTTCTTTGTAGGCAATCCTTTACAAAATGGCTTGAGAATTCCTACTTCAAAATAGTATGATAAACTAGAAAACTTCCTGTGACTCATTTCAACCTCAGATATTTATTTTTAAAATGTCTACAAAAAGTTGCTTTGCCTTCACACATTCAAAAGACAAAAGGTTATAGTAGAGCTAAAGAGTGTTGTAGTTCAACAGAGTGACGAGTCCAGAAAGTCAGATACAAATCTTAAAGAAGTATGGCCCCTAAAGTTATGATTCTCACTGGAAAGGGACACAAGACTCTAGGCAGAGGTTTTATCAAACCTAAACCCACCCTACCTCATTGCTCGACCGGTCATTTATAACTGTAATAAGAGATGCTACTGACAGGAGCAGGCTGCGGATGTGGATGTGGAGACGGGAGGGAAAAAGGTGGGAAACTAGTCTTGTAGAGGCAGAGGAAAGCACTCATGCTCAAAGTCCAAGAATTATTACATAACTGCATAAAATAATTATGCTAACAGAAAAAAGTTCAATCTGAAAAAATTTAAATAACTACGAAGTTAAGAATCAATGATTCCCCTTCTTTAGAACTAAGTCAGAAATGTCGAGTTTTCAAAGCAGGGATACCAAAAATTTAAGTATGCAGATAAGAGCTGAAAGCTCAAGAGGCAAAATAACCACGTAAAGAAGAAAATGGCTCTTGACTTAAACATTAAGATGTTTAATAACTTTTAATATAAACTGATAATGCCTCTCGATAACATATGACATTACCCATTCTCTGTTCTAAGGCATACCAACCGCATGGGTATGATTCAGTCTATAAAACAGGATTCAGAGGACTTAATCCACATCTCAAATTAAGACTATGTCACCAGTTCAAAATACAATTTTAATATAATACTAACCTTAATTTTAGGAAACATACAATAACTTTCAATGTCTATATTTAGAGGGAAAAAGATCACCGAATATTTTCCAAAAGCACAAATAAACTCCAAGGTTCCCATAAGTTTCCAAGTCTTTGTTGGGCAAGTTTCTAAGCTACCGTTATCAGTAAAAAATCTTAGCTCACTCTCCTAATGATACTACCATTCTATTCAGCCTTCTATCATAACAGCCTGAAACAGACTGTTGTTAAAAGTAAGAAGAATACTGGCGAATTTTTAAAGGGTGAGGAAAATGTCTACAAAGGCACACTCCTACAGAATGTCAAACTTTTAGAAATGGTATGTGGTTTTAAGTAATATTCTATAATACTTAAAAGATGAGACTCAAAAACAAGTAACTAAAATACAGACCATAACTCTACAAAATACATAATGCCAATATGGCTTTTTGCTTTTTTAATGAAAAATTACTAGAATATCCTCTTCCATACTTTTCAGCTCTTCATTAAATTTATAGGAAGCTTTAACTGCATCTCTAATATCTGGCTTTTACTTATCCTATCATCTGAGACTATCAAATTATTTGTAGTTTATGAGCATCATTATACTAATTTACCCACAAAAAACTCAATGCAGTTTACCCTTGAACAACATGGGTTTGAACTTTAGGGGTCCACTTCTATGTGGATTTTTTTCTAATAAATACAGTACAGTCAGTACAGTAAACGTATGTTCTCTTCGTTAAGATTTTAATAACATTTTCTTCTCTCTCGTTTACTTTATTGTAAGAATATACTACATCATACATATAACATACAGAATATATGTTAATCAGCCATTTGTGTTATTAGTCACAAAACTCAGTAGTTAAGTTTTGGGGGAGTAAAAAGTTATACACAGGTTTGTGCACGGCATTGGCACCCCTAAGCCCTGCATTGTTCAAGGGTCAACTGTACCTGATTCTAGGAATAAAGATTTATACCTTTAAAATATATCAACACCTGGCGAGACAAATTTGGGCTTGAACTTCATAATGACAGCAACATTCTGATATTATCATAAAACATGACTTTGCCCCGCTACACAGAAAACCAGCTTTGGGGGATCAACTGCGAGGACTGGGGAATTCCTGAAAACTTTTCCTAAGTCTCCAGTTCTCTTGCAATCCCCACGCTATTTTGCACAGTTAAGAAGACATGCAGTAGAACGTGCCTCCACTTAGATCTCTTCTTTACCCATTTGTGTATGAAAATTACGGCATCAGGAGACATCATGTTGAAAAACAACAAATGGCAATCACTGAAAATCGTGCCCCCATCCCAACACTGCTACCCAGTAGGATTACTATACTCAAGACTGGAATAAATTAGCAGAAGTGAAGAGCTGCTAAGTAGTCTATGATCATTGTACTTCTTCTGAGTTCTCAAGTGAGAAGGGTAAATTCTAATCTAAAAGCCTTCAAACTCTAGAGAGCAAAAGATCAACTTATACTTCTCTAGCCAGCCCATTTGCTAAGGAGGCTAAAGATGAAAGAAACTATCTGAAAATATAGATTTCACATTAAAGGATAATGGGTTTCACCAGAAAGTCAGCTCCTGGTAAAAATGAGCATATGCTGACATTAAGCTAGTGACATACTAGCCATTAGGTGTTAACATCTAATCAACTAAGTTTCTACATTCCAACTCAGATAAGTATAAATGTGGTTAACAACTCTTTGAAAACCAAAAACTATTACTGTGGCAAATCAATCATGTTTTTAATACTAAAAGTGGTAAAAAAAAAAAAAAAGAAAAAGAAAAATTCATAACACAAATTTATAAAGGATGCACAATAAAGCAACAACAACAAAAATCTAAGAAAAAAATGTTTAATATGCATCCACAAAAAGTTCCACAACCATAAAACAAACATCAATGCATCTTACCTCTATCATTATATGAAAGGCGTGCTTGTGAAGAAAAAACACAGGCAAAAGAAATTACGATTTATATCCAGAATGAAATGAAAAATGACACATCAGTTACAAAAGTGAAGGAAGGAGAATAATGATTTAGCTTTTTAAAAGTTGGCAATGATCCAATGTATCATATTTTTAAAATAAGAACTGGGAACACTTTCCTTATAAAGGGAGGAAAGTAGTATCAAACAAACAAAAAACTTGGATATCACCTTTCAGATGAGGGGCATTATCGTATAGACAACTCTAGTATGACCCCAAATTACCTGATCCAATGAACTTCAAGCTAGCAAACTACACCGAGTCTTAAATAATTGTTACTTGTTTGTCTAAGAAGTTCTAGAGTCTAAACTGGATGAGTAAAACAAGTAATTTAATTGAGAAAATACGCGCTGGAATTGGCTTCTGGACACGAGAGGGCAGTATTGCCTTTAACAAAAACTAGAAGCAGCACAGAAGAAATTTTTACGTAACCAGAATAAGTTCCTCAGCCCACACTTTGGCAGTTGTTTTAAGAGTCCCTAAAATCTCCCATTTCCTGAACTGCTTCACTCCCTTTTCATGGACGATATCATAATCAATTAGAAAAATGTTTCTAGTGTCTTTGTGTGTGCAACATAAACAATATACTAGGGTAAGAAAATAAAGACAGGGGAAGAATTAAAAAATGAGAATTAAGTAGAAACATA